TATGATAGGAAACATATGCAAAACATTGCCACAGTTTTGGCAAGACTGTGGGCACAGGGTTTAGGACTTAAATGCAAAACTATGACACCACACTCAGATCAGGGTGCAAATGTTCATTTTCCCGTTTTGCAGACAAACAGTTTTCAGTTTTTGCAACTCAAATGCTATGCATGCATTAACCTAATAACAAAAACCAATGCTAACAATATTAAATTTTCAGTCAAAAACAAGCAAAAAATACCATGGTAATTCACACTTCAATTGAAAGTACAATGAGTAATTTATGCTGCGCTAATCGATATGGCAGTTGTGTACGGCTAGCATGCTGCAAAATTTTGCAGTTACCAAGAAATGGTCTTAGCCAAAAAAAAATTATATTTATCTGACGAGTGGAAATGTCCAATAATGGTAGTTAATAAGATTAATTAAATAGTATTCAGCTGGTCATGTGATCTCAAAATGGCCGTCCCCATGAGGGGGTCCGCTGCATGTAACTGCTTTATTAGGCTATTGATCTGACTGGAAAGACGTGATCGCTTGTGAATGTACCTTAAATTTAAAAAAAAAATTTAAATGGCTAATAATTTCAGGAGTAATTAAAAAAAGTCTATTGAATTACATAGTCAATATAAATGCTTGAAACAGTGGCAGGAGTGTCTTGCTAGGACAGACATTACAACAACGACCCATTTTCATACAACTGTTGTACAAGATGAATAAATACACTTAATCTCTGCTAATGACACGGTCACCAGCCCTTTTGTTCTCAAGCTACACCTAGTTTCTCTCAGGAAGGACATTGTGGCAGATGACAATATCACCAGCATTAAGTTTAAAGGCAGGAGATGGGAATAAATGACTGTTTGGTCTCAAACGTTTAACAGCTTGTGTGAATACACCATTTAGCTGCTGTCTTCCGCAGATAAATGGCTTCCAGGTATTATTTTGAGGTGCTTTTGTAAAAACAGAACATCATGGTCATTATGGTCGACTAGTTAACTTTTTTCTCCCTCTCTCTCTGTGCCACCAAACCGCTGTTAGTAGTTTCATTGTTGTCTTTTAGTTATGCCAGTAATCTCAGGGATATAACCACAGGATGGTGTCTTCCCAAACCAACACTTTCTCTGAATATGACTCATGAAATCAATATTGTTATGAACTCAAAAGCAGGAAAGCCTCAGGCTGAACCTTGAAAAAGAGAAGTGGGATTTTTATAGGCAGTATTTACACTCCAAGACTGTGTTCCCCTTAAAAGCTAAAAGCAAAGTGACAACATGTTTGTTAAGAACAGTTTGTTCAAAGGACACAATAAACAGTACAGTCTGCTTTTCCAAAGTCCAGCAAAAAAATAAAAAAAATTTTAAAAAAAGAATCTCCAGACCATGGCATGCAAGAAGACAGCTGACCATCCCAGCCATCCTGGGATGTTGCAGAACACAGGAGGTGATGTGTATATGTAAGGAGGAGTGGCGGTGGGTTTACATAGGACATGACCTAATAAAGGGGGGTAAACTATGTTTAAGAAGGGAAGGGCATTATGTGAACAAGTCTGGGCAAGTCAACTATTTTGATTTGCTTCCAACATGTTGAACTAGTCAGACTGAATCTTTCTAGATCAGCTCAATTGAGCTGACAAAACAGTCCACAGAGAAACATATGTTTGCAAAAGACCAATATACAGGTGTCATGACCACAAAGATCAACACATTGTTATAGTAAAGAGACAGTCAGCTTGACACAAGTAATGATATCATGATAAATAGTAATCTTAAAGGGATAGTTCACCCAAAAATAAAAATTCTGTCATCATTTAATAATAATAATAATAATAATAATAATAATAATAATAATAATAATAATAATAATAATAATAATAATAATAATAATAATAATAATAATAATAATAATAATAATAATAATAATAATAATAATAATAATTCATTACATTTATATAGCGCTTTTCTAGGCACTCAAAGCGCTTTACATTGTCAGGGGGAATCTCCTCATCCACCACCAGTGTGCAGCATCCACCTGGATGATGCGACGGCAGCCATAGTGCGCCAGAACGCCCACCACACACCGGCTTATTGGTGGAGAGGACTTTTTTTTACTCACTCTACGCCGGTTCCAAACCTGGCCGAGTTTCTTTTTTCTGTAGAACAAACACACAAAGAGATTTTGAAGAATGTTGGTAACCAAACAGTTGACTTCCATTTCATTTTATTCCATAGTACTATTCAAGTTGATGCCTACCTTTAACATTCTTCAAAACATTATCTTTTGTGTTCAACGGTAGAAAGAAACTCACACAGATTTGGAACAACTTTAGGGTGAGTAAATGACAGAATTTTCGTTTATGGTTGAACTGTTCCTTTATAAGTTATTAGGACAAGTAGACCATACTTATAACCTTGAATTCTCTTACATTAGAAAAGGCATTCACAGAAAGCAAAATGAACAAACACACTCGGCTGTTAGAGATGAGCAGTGGAAAGTAAACATTTGTGCATTGTGACATTCATAGCCACTGGCAGGACTTATTATATCAGCTTAAGTGATCGGAGTAGAAGCCCTCACGGGAAACCCTACTGAACTAATGTATCTGTTTTTCCATTACGCCCAGTAGCCTGAAGTGATCAATGAGTAGGACAACAGTGGCCTCTTGTGTTAATCTCAAAACACTTTAAAACAGGGGTGCCCAAACTCGGTCCCGGAGGGCCGGCGTCCTGCAGAGTTTAGCTCCAACTTGCCTCAACACACCTGCCTTCAAGTTTCTAGTATGCCTAAGAGCTTGATTAGCTGGTTCAGGTGTGTTTAATTGGGGCTGGAGCTAAACTCTTCAGGACACCGGCCCTCCAGGACCAAGTTTGGGCACCCCTGCTTTAAAACATGTTCAACGAGACAATGCAATGTCCTCTCGATTAAATGGAAAATAACAGGAATTTTAAAACTTTTTACATGTCAAATTGTCAAGGTGACACAAATATCATTACTCTTTAATTTGCAAGGGACCTTCTCTTAAAACAAGGGTGTTTCTTTAATGTCGCAGACAATACATTTTAAACAAAGTCTTGCATAAAAACACGAGTTACAAGTTTAAATGCAAATAGAGTGTAATAAATCAGTTTTTACCGTATTTCCACTAAAGCTGTAATTGTATCATGTAATTGCAATTGTATCAAAACGTGAAAATATTTTGTATTTAGGAATGATACATCTATTCTAAAAATTGTTTTTAAAAAGCACAAAACACAATCAATCACAATAAATCACTTGAAATGTGATGGGAAATTGATTTTTTTGTTGTTGTTTATATAATATTTGACAACTAATATCAAATTGACATTAAATAAAAATAAGATTACCACCTTACCTGAAGAGTGTGAAAATAGTTCAGGAAACACCCATAAAGACCCATGAACCAACATGCAGACAAACCTCTCGGCAGTCTCGATCTGTCTCATGCAGGACGGATGTCAATGATTGCATCACCAAATTGCAAGTGGTCTTCTTTCCTTCCATTTTCTTGCACATTTTAACTGAAAACTCCCCCCTCCCTCATAAAAAGCTTGAGAAAACCCTTTCAGCTTTGTCACTGTTGGCAAACTGAGTACAACAGAAGAAACTTCAGGTGATGAAAATCAGTCCTAATTAAATGAAGCCTAAATTTGTGACAGACTATTCTGTCGTTCAAAGAGAGGTGAACCACCCACACTTTCAACTTCAATACGAACCTAAACGGTTAGAGAAGAAACAGCTTTTCCACTGTACTTAACCCTTTCATGCATGAATTATTAAATCCCAAAGTAATAACTTTTAATGTTTGTTTTTATTTTTAAACAAGTGAAAAATCGTGCCAGTAACTTTTTTTTTTTCCAATTTTATTTTATTTTGAGGGAGTTACATATCTGTCCACTGTAGTGGACACTATGCATCAACGGTATAAAAAGTGATTCAATAGAACATTCAATAGAAATTAAAACATTTACTAAGAGCAAATGGAATGAATACACATTATCAGACACCTAGGCTTTGTATGTGTTTCTGTATAAGTACTGTACTTCTGAATGGGCTGAGGCTGGGATCTAGCTGGTTTGAAATTAAAGTATTTAATGAACGTATATTATGTGCAGAGAGCATTCACTACTAGATATTGTTAGCTCATTTTTGGCAAATGTAACTTTTAGAGGCTTTTGCATCGGAAGTCTTGGAACATTAACAACAATAAATAGAGAGGACATTTGAAAAACATAACATTCTATGTCTCAAAAGTATTTTTTTTTAATTTAGAAATGGCCAACTTTTATTTAAAACCAGAATCATACGTGAGCACAAGTACACACACAATCACATACACCCTCCCACCACACACACACTAATGCAATCATGCACACATATTCCTGCACTCATACAGTACATGCCTACACTTATGACCTAATAAATAAATAGACTGTAAGCAATGACATAAATTATAAAATCCAAAGACTATTTAACATTTGTTTAATAAAACTATTCAAATGTATATATATCACACTTTTAACTAAAACCTACAAAATCAGGGGACTCTATATATATATCCATTAGGCATAATATACCCTTTGGTGCATGACATCCACTGGAGTGGACAGCTATATTTTGTCATCAAAAAAAAAAATACATATAGTTAAAATCTGGATAAAAGTATCTCTAACAACCCATTTAGGTGAAAAATATTTTTGTACCTGAGGTTTTCTGAGAATAAAAGGATTTTACACTTATTCCTGAGGTAATTGGTGCATCTCCTCTTCCCTCCGTCTTTTTGAATTTATGATGTGCTCTCAAAACAAAAAATAAAGACAATAATTAAATGGAATTGTAGACAGTGCTCTGGGGGTTCACCACTTGGTGGTTGGGACATGGTACTACAACCTAAATGGTTCAAAATGGATTCCAAACATCTGTCCACTCCAGTGGACACCATGCATGAAAGGGTTAATGCACAAATGACACAATCACAGACATTAACTGCACATTTTTATTTCAGGCACAAGAGGGAGCAATTTTGGCCTAAACACCTTCTCAGCAAGAGTCCGTGTTCAAGTGATCACCACTCACAGTATATTTCACAGACAAATGCACAAATTAACACACATACACCCCAAAAAGGCCACCAAGTCCCTTTTTTAAAGTGCTCAACATGTCAAGTATTACCAGAAAATAAATCTTCCATTCTTGAAAAGCGATGCATGTATTCAGCGACCCAAAAAAAAAAAAAAAACGAAAAGCACCATTTTGCAAACTCCTGCATGGCTGGAAAACCTCTCAATCTCATGTAAAATGAGCTGATGAGCAACAGGGCCATTAAACAGACACCAGAAGATGCTTCTGAATGTTAGGATTTCAATTTAGTGCAAACTAAATGCCGCTACTTTGGGTTATGAGTATCCAAGTACACAGTAAATGCGCTCAACTCACAAAAAAAACAAAAAAAAAAAGAAATATTTTAAATGTACTGATGATAATAATAATAATAATAATAATAATAATAATAATAATAATAATAATAATAAATAAAAAGAACCCAGAAAAACCTTTGTAAACTTTCACCAGCAAACAGCTTACATTAGCTTTAACACTGACTTTATACTATTGAACATGATCTTTCTAACATGCAATTGCACCATGCATAACCGAAAGCGCAATAAAGTGCAGAGTAACTTTCAAAAAACATCCAAAATGCCCCATTCTCCCTTTTTGTGCCCATTTAGAGATGGATGTTCAGTCCTGGTACAGCAGGAAACCAGAAAAGGTGCTGTACTTCCAGCTACTGCCATAGATGGCTCCACGGTGCAGTCGCAGCCACACTTGGTCGCCCTGGAACAGCTGGAGGACAGCATGATTGCTCCCGGTCTCGTGGTCGGGAGCGCCATCGTTGGCATAAGCAGACACCATCACCTCTTCGTTGCGCATGAGGTTGATGTACAGGGGTACACTGATGGCCAGCTTCAGGATGTGGAAGATGAAAACGTAAGCACCGGCAGCGGGACAGGTGAAACGGCCGGTGGTCGTATCAAACATTTCGCCAAGGTTGGTGTGCAGCAGGTCGAAAGAGATTGGCTGATCCAGAGTGCCGGGGGCGAAGTTTGCAGTGCGGGCGGCGGAGAAGGCCACACGGAGTTGGGTGAGCGGGTACACGTGTACGGGCATCAGAGTGTGCGGGCCCTGGGGCGTGATGGGCACTTCCATTGGCGGGATGGAGAGTGTGTCACTGATTCCTGAGTCGAGGGGATACGCACCCTCCCGGTCCGGGCTGCTCACCTGAGAGGAGTCACTCCAACCGGCTAAAGAGGTGAGGAGATACAAAGACAGACCACAGGAGTTAAGGATGTTACTTTGATCTATTAAGAGCCATTTTCAACAGAGAACATTCTTTTTAAAATAAGTATCAGTATTATATATAGTTCTATAAAATATCAGTCAATGTATGAGTGATGGCTCATACCATTGCTCCTTTGAGTTGCTGTGCCTCCACCTCGTTTGAAGCTCTGGAGATACCCGTTTTCCTGTTAGCAAGATAAGTAAATAAAATAAATAAAAACTACTGACTAGCTTTTCATTTAAAATATAGACAATGACAACACTCACCCAAAATATTAAAATCTATATTATAACACAACACTAAATGAATAGAAGACCTATTCGTTTATATAAAATGACAAACAGTAAATCTGATCTACAAAAAAAAAAAAAAAAAAAAAAAAAAATGAAAACATTAACTCAGTATAATATAATAGAATATCATATAATATTATAGAATAGAATAGAATGCCTAAACACTTGATAAATTAGTTTTTTTTTATACATTGAAATAAAAATTATAAACTGTGACATTCAGTAAACAAATAAATTAAGAAAATCAAACTTACTCTGGACACATAAAGGGCAGATCCAGGGTCTCTGTGTGTGGTGTGGGTCTGGGATATGAAGCCTCCTCCTGGAGAATGCATATTCACTCTGTATGCCTCATAACCACCTGTCAATCAGCCAAAAAAAAAATTTGTTTTACACTACTAATCCATGTCTTCTCCAAACTGCAAAATGCGAAGATCCAATAGCACAGATTAATAAAGTTTGTGCAAAGGCAACAGTAAACAGTGTTTGTGTTTCAGGTGACAAGAAATACACCACTATAACGTGATCTGCACACTATTTAAATGTAAAGGTGAAAGATTAACAGAAAGTGAAAGAGACCGAGGAAGAGGAAGGTACCTCTGTAGCCACCAGGTGATCTGTATGAGTGACCCAAACCCCTGCCTGCACGCGTCATACCTCTCGCTGTACCACGGGGGTAGCACGACTGACCCAGACGAGACTGTGGCTGAGGGCCAGAAAACACGTGACCACCTCCACTGACTGGACACTCCAGCTGGTACTGGCCTTCTGCAAGGACACACGAGAATAAGAGAGAATAGGCCTTTTTTACCAGAATGTTATGAAACTTACCAGAATTTATAACTCTTAATTGAATATCACCATTCGAAAAAACATGGAGAAACTGGTTATGAGTGTGAGGGGGAAGTTTTGCCTACATTTTGGGGACTAAACATCTCCTACAGTGAGAAGGATATTAAAGTCTTCACTGTCACACACTGCGAGCAACATCTAACAATCTCAATGAGAAATTGCTTAAAGGGGTCATATGATGCTGCTAAAAAGAACATTATTTTGTGTATTTGGTGTAATGAAATGTGTTTATGCGGTTTAAAGTAAAAAAAACACATTATTTTCCACATACTGTACATTATTGTTTCTCCTCTATGCACTGGGGATGCGTCAATATTAAAATTCTGGCCAAAACAGATAATTTATCTATTTCACCAATAAATGACCAATATAAAAAAAAATTAATAATAAAAAAAAAACACTAAGCTAAAATTAATAGTTTTAAATGCTAGTGAATTTCGGCATCATAACATTATAATGTATGCATTATATAAATATAAAATACATAAAATTCAAACTTCAATTTAAACAAATGTAAAAAAAATAAATAAATAAAAATTATATTATATTAACTATAATATATGCACTCTGGATAAAATTGCACTCTGGATAAAATTGCATGCGGGCGCATGTTTTACCAATCTGTAGGTCATCTTCAGGTAGGTTGAGCTCAGGAGGTGTCTGGGTGCTGGCGGTGGAGTAATTCGGGGTTTTGGCTGATGTGTAACTCAGATGCATGGACTCCGAGAAACCACTCTCATCTGACTTCAACCCTGAGCTCTCACTGATGGGCAAAGATGCCACATTAAACACCTGATGAGGAGAGGGACGTTCAGATCATATGTTCTGCATTTTTATTTAAATAAGTGGAACTGATGTTAGGGACTTTGGATGCATGCGAGAACAAAACACATTCTCACAGAGTGAATGTTGTGGAAGGCGTTTTCTGCACTGATGGATCTGTGACTAGGTGGGGTGGAAAATGTCTGTGCAGACACAGTTGATACTCCATTGCATAACATTTGCTTTCCTGCCTGACACACACAAAGTCAATCCCAAACACATTGTTTTAAAACACAGAACAACAGTCATTTTCGTGGCACCACATGCCATCTCCAGTAATTTCACTTCCCACTTGTAAAAGCTCATTGCCACAAAACGTTCCAGATAAAGTCAAGATTATAAACACTAAAACACAAATTGTGGTCAATATAGATAATTTCTATACTAAATTTAGAAATTAGAAATGAGCATTAATTAGAATATCAAAACCGCCAAAAAAGGACATCTAAAAAAAAAAAAAAAAATTAAAAAAAAAAAAAAAAAAAAAAAATAAACCTTAAACGTGAATTAAAAATACATGTATAACTTAAATTCCAACCTCACAAAGAAAAAATAAAAAAAATAAAAAAACCTTCAAACATCCATTTATGCATGCAAATAAAAAAACTAAAGAAATAAAGAAATAACATTCCTAGTTTATTATTTGTCCATTCAGTGCATACCTGTACAGTGCTCTGGTTTTCTAATGGGACTGAGATGGAGGATCCCCTGCAGTACAGTGGAGGAGAGGTGAAGCCCTCACCTTGTTTCTACAAACACAACAGTTGCCATTACAGCATATGTAAAATTACAAGCTTATGTGAAAGCTGCTATTTGGTAGCATACATTTAATAACTGTACCACCACCAAAAAAAAAAAAAAAAAAAAAAAAAAAAAAAAAAAAAAAAAAAAAACACACAACAACTTACATGTGGCTTCTCTTCGTGGTGTAGATCAAGGTCAGAGCCATTTATAGAACGGTCTCCATTCGACAGACAGCCTTTAGCCTCTCCAGACAGCAGAATCCGTAATGGAGTGCTCTACCATTAGAAAATAAATGTCATTAGTTCGTCACAGGAAAGAGTGACCACATTTTTTATTGTTATACACAAAAAAAGCTCTCATCAAGTCAAACATATTCACCTGCTGGGATTGAGGCAGAATATCTGATGGGCTTTTCGTTAATTTCCTCTGTGCTGCACGTTAAAAGAAACCGACTGTCAGTATTAGTTTAAAGGAATGTACTTGCCCTCAGCCCATCCAAGGTGTAGATTCTTCATGGGAACAGATTTCAGAATTTATCATAACATCACTTGCTCTCCAATGGATCCTCTGCAGTGAATGGGAGCCGTCAGAATGAGTCCAAACAGCTCTTCGCTTCACAAGACATTAATTGATCAACTGGAGTTGTGTGGATTGTGATGTTTTTATCAGCTGTTTGGATTCTCATTCTGACAGCTCGGACTCATTTACATCTTGTATTGCCTCAGGGCGAGTTTTTTGCCAAATTCAATTTTTTTTTTTAGAAACTATTTCTTTAACGCCATTCTACACTTTAGTGTTACTCATTTAATATGGAGCACTCATGTACCAAGAGGAGTAGAGGAGCCTGGAGATGGACGGCATCTCTTTGTTTGACTGTTTACGGGTGACATTTCTCCATCCAGAAGAGACTCCTGCAAAAAAAAAAAAAAAAAGACAATTCTGTAAAAACTTACTTTCTGAAAGTTCTGTTTTGACAAAAATAGGAAAATTAAATTGTACTGCTGCAAATTAGTTGTATTGTTGCAATTTATGTTTTTTTATTTTTTGCAAAATCTTTAAATGCATGCCTGCATGAAGCTGAAGGATCCTGAGATCTGGTCCATCAGAGACTCCAACTGCTGTTTGCGCTGAACAGGGTCTTTTGGTAATGGAGATGGAGAGCCAAAGACTTCCACTGCGACAGGCATCTGTAAGTACACAGCATAAAACTAACACTTTAACTGCTTTGATATACTAAAGAATTTACGATGAATGTAAATAACTCACCGGTTTAGAGTCCTGCTCCTCCTTGCTCTTTCTTTGACATTTCTAGAAAAGACGCAACATTTATGTGAAGAGACAGAAACTGACCTAGTTACATTTCAAATGGCTCCCCAACTCAGCAAACCGCCAACATGCAAGTTCAGTCGTTTAAGCAGCAACACCTTTAAGAGATTTTAAAACTAGGGTCCACAGAGTCCTGGGGACCACAAGAGGGCACTAGGAGTCTTTGTAAAAAAATAAATGACAAAAATAAATTGAATGTGCAATTCTATATTATAAAATTCTATATTGTATTATAAAATTCTAATATTGGATAGGGGGAAAAAAAGTTGTACTTTGTATGTGTGGGGGATGGGTAAACTTATTTTCCGAAGTATTGTAATTAGTTTTTCCTGCATTTCTTTTTTCTTCACTCAGTATAAATGAAAATGCATAAATGCCTTTATTTTAGCAAAGCGGATCATCATATTTGGGGGTCCTTGGAATAAAGAATAAAAATTAAAATATATATATATATATTTTAAGAAAAAAAAAAATGATTATTTTGCAAACATCTTGGGACTGACATTGGAAAATACCCCAATTTTCAATTCAGGTCACCTCAAGTGCCATTTCAATAGACAAGTTAGAGAAGTCTCACCTCCTTTGGGTCAACCGTAGGCCTCTTCGCAATGTCTGCAGTCTTAGGAATCAATCCTGCTGCCCCTTTCCATGGCTTCTGTGTGGGGGACTGAGAGGACGCAGGAGCCTCAGAAAACTCCATTTCCCATGAGTCTGGTGGCTCCCTTTCCTTCATGGCTAAAAACTCCTCCTTCCAACTATGGGGCGACGTGTTCTCATCCTGTCTGCGCTCAGTGACGTCCGTTTCAGGTAGGTATTGTCTGTTAAGAAACTGGCACCATTCAGAAGTTACTGAAACGCTAGAGCTTCTCCAAAACACAGTTTATAGCACTTGATGGCGTTTGACACGTCACTTGTTCTTACCTCTTTGGAAGGCACTCCTTTTGAGCTCAGCTTCACCAGTGCTAAAATGCAGAAATATCAATGAAATTTTTAATGTAAATTAATAGCTGTTTAGACAGAAATTGGAAGTTAAATTTGAATGAAATCTCACTGGAGAGGCCACAAGGCCTAGATGGAGGGTCCGCCTTTAGGGTCTCAGTCTTCTCTTGACTGTCAACTTTAGGAAGTGGTATGTGATCAAAAAAGCCACAGTCCACTAGCCGAAGTAGCTTTTCCTTCATGTGCTTATCTGTGGAAGAATGACAGCGGTCATAAAAATAAGTCAGTTTTTATCTTTGTACCCCCACGATCCCTTCATCAGTAAGACTCAAACCCTCATCAACACCAAAATAGAAGTGGGTTCCTTTTGCTTGATTTCCCCAAAAGGAACTAAATGTTTCTAGGGCGCACATACAAAACATACATTTATTCTATTTTATTTATTCTGTAATGTTTGTCCTTAAATAATAATGATGCATAATTTGTGTAATGCATTTATACATTTACATGTATTATCATTCATAATACAACTAAAATTAAATGGCATACATTACATAATTATAAAACCTATACATTTACATGCATTTGTTATTAATATAAAATATAATAATAATAATAATAATAATAAATAATAATAATAATAAAGAACATTGCATTTATTTTGTGTAATGCATTAGGCCATACTGTATTTCTTTTGTTTTACGTATTTCTCTTTAAATGTATTATTCTCAATACAACTAAAATTAAAGGGCATATTGTATTTTGTGTAATGTATTTATATATGTACATGTTTACTCTTAAATAATATAAAGCCATTACAAAAATACAATTATATATTTGCAATTATTATTACTCCTACATTTGCAGTAAATGCATCTATAATTGCTATATAACTGTTATCCTATATAATATTTTGAAGGAAAAAAAAAAAACATCCTAGCTCGGATAACAATTGGAAAGCTACCAAATTAATTTGACAATCACAGAAACTCACATGTCGAGCCAGCAACTGGTCTTTCTTTTCCTTCCAGAAGCTCCCCGTAAACAATAGCAGCCTGTTCCATCTGATCCTCTAAACTAGTGCATGAAACACAAAAGATCAAGCCACACCAACAGGCTAAAAACACCCCAAATACAGTAATGTAATAGAATCAAAAATAACCAGCAAGCACCCATGCTAGGGAGAACATGCAGTTAGCAATTGCAAAATAAATCAGATCTTTTGTATCATCCCAAAGGAGTTTGTTTTGTGATCCCATTTATAAACTTTTTTGCTAGGTGTGTAATATTTCCCATTAAGTACATAAATTACTGAAGTGCTACAACACGCACATAAAGCAATGTAGGAAATCAGTACCTAAATTTAAAGTTAGCAGTCAAAAAAAAAATCATCTTCACAGAATGCGTTTGACCAATCAGAAGTAAGATTGCAAAATAAATCAGATCTTTTGTATCATCCCAAAGGAGTTTGTTTTGTGATCCCATTTATCCCACTTATAAACTTTTTTGCTAGGTGTGTAATATTTCCCATTAAGTACATAAATTACTGAAGTGCTACAACACGCACATAAAGCAATGTAGGAAATCAGTACCTAAATTTAAAGTTAGCAGTCAAAAAAAAAATCATCTTCACAGAATGCGTTTGACCAATCAGAAGTAAGAACTCCAGACAGCCATGTAAAATGACACTGACAAGTCCTTTAAAATAATAAAATAAAATTTAAAAAAAATGTACAAAGTAACACCACAAAAACACTGACTACAGAGCAGAAGACCGTATCAGGTGCAGCACAAACCTCATCCTATGGTTTCTTTTGCATCCCAATAATGAGGCCAGATCCAGCAAGCACTCAATGTCCTGTGTGGACAGGTAACAGGAATGTTGTCTTGCGTTGCAGAAGTTCCTCCGGACGTCCTCTCTCTGCAGACTGTGGAGGATGTATTGCACCTGGAGCATCAAGCTAAGACGTTTCCTCTCTTCTTCAATCCTCATCAACTTCTCTTGTCGAGCAGTTTTCCGCTGAGCCTTCAATAACTATGGAGAAATCAGAAGATCCAGTGAAATATGCAGAACTGTTTGATTTCGCTCTGTACTTTACGAATGCATGAAACTTACATCTTGTGTGAGGGCACCAATGGTCTTCTGGAGCTCTTTGGCAAATTTAAGATTGTGGATCACCTCATCGTACTTCCCCACAGCTTCCTACAACATTACCACACATCTGTCATGCTGAAACAAGCCCCATTTCCCAAGATGCAACACATAAAATGAAGAATGAATACCTGTTGGTCTGGATTTAGTTTGTCCCCCTTCTTCAGCCTCTCACTGTAGCTTTCCAGTTTCAGCTGTAAGAATAAAAAGTAGCTTTGTTTTACGCACACAGACAGGAGTGAAGCACATTGGGGTTCCTTCATGCGGTTTCCACCTAAATAACATAATAAAGGCACCTTCTTTTTCTCAATGTTGCGGATCTTGTGCTTGAGGCAGATGAGGCCGTCCTCAATGTATTTCTCGTAGCCGTAATAGGTGGTCGTGGTGGTGGGGTTAAAAGCGAGCTGGAGGGCGGTAAGCACTCGAGGGGACTCGGATTTAAGGCTGCCCTGGTCATCTTCCTTCTCCATAGTCAACTCCGACGGAGTTAATGTCTCTATAGTCCGAGATGGTGACAGCTGAACCATGATCTTGGTCTCTCTGAAGCAGAGGGGACAATGAACAGAAAGGTCACACTATTTATTATGGAACTAAAAAGAGATGTTTATAGCCATTCTCAGAATGGAATATTAGGTAACGTCTTATGGAGTAAGATAATTAGCATTGCCTAATTTATAAAAAAAAAAAAACATTTCCATACCACAGTAGTCATACAGCATCACACACTCAAAAATACATGTGCAGGTATTTTTAAAGTTATTCCGCAACCAAAAGAGTCTAATAATACAGGGTCATGTGATGGAAGCGACCCTCACTGGGCAATGTAGAATAAAACTAGCTAACGCTAAATTTAAAAATCACCAATAATCTCCACACTGTAAAAAATGACCGTGAATTTAACGGTAAAAGATTGTAAAAATGCTACAGTAAAAACCTGTTAAATGGTTAACGGTAAATTCCCCTACTATATACGGTGAAAAACTGTATTGGACATTACATGTATTGGACATTAATTTTACGGTAGTTTTTTTTACCGCAAATTTTACGGACTTTTTTTTGCAGTGCAATTATCAGTAAATTCTTCAGTGTTGTTTTGGTTTCACTGAGATACTATTATAGTTTTATTAATAGTTTATAATATCATATTAAGGTATTTAATGTGTTACGTTTTCATTTTAATCCTTGTTAAAGTTTTAGTAATTTTGTTGTGTGTTTGTCATTTTTATTGGGTTTGTCAGATTTTATAATATTTGATATTAAATACTGAAATTTTATTTCAGTAGGCCTACATCAAGTTCAACTAAACGAAAATGAGAAGGGTTTCTACAACAAGAGCTGAAACAGCTGAAATAATTTTAAACAAAGTTAACATATTTTAACTGAATTAACAAAACGTTTTTATGGTTTTAGTCTTGGTTAACTATAATAACCCTGATGCTTCAAAAACTTTTGTATTCGTACAGGTCTGACACGTGGATGAGTAAATGAGAAAAAATTATGAACTCTTAATACACTTATATTATACTTATTTTTCTATATTTATTTCCCTATTCACTTTTGTTCTTAAATGATTTAAAATGAACCTTTAAATGTTTTTTATGCCTGTGCTGTGCTATATAAATACTACCTTTGCCTTTAAGTTAAAAGCATGCATAAGGCAATAGGCTGTATCCTGGTTCTTCATGCAAGGAGTTCAATCATTCAATGACAATAAAAGAATCTCAGCACAAAGGGATGAAAAGAAAATCTCAGCACACATACTGTAAAGTTAAACCCAAAAGGCACAGCCTGAACAGTGAGTGTAGAACTCAATTATGTGAGCTAAAATCTTCCCTTGTGTCTGGACATTCGCCAGTGCTCACCATGACATGGCATTTACATGCTGGAATACAAATGCAACATTCAAAAGCGAATTAACCCCGGAAATCACGATGTAACATTAAAACCGTAGTCGTTTACTATCAGCCATTTACAAATATCGTCTGATGCAATTCTGGCGTTCGTAAACATTGATTATGCATCCAGTAGATCACCAAAAGAAGCTATAATAACTTGCATTTGAAAAAGAGCAGTTACAACAGAGCAAAATGCAACTTTTAAAGACTTTATCCGACACGAGTTTGATGCTTTCCAGAATAATCCTGCCCAAACAGCATCGACGTGGTGCCACCACCCAAAAGCACGCGCAGAAAACGCAAATAAGTTGCTAGAGGACGAATAAAGCCACAGATGCATGTGACAACATAACACACAGGTGCAATGAGCAAAGCATTTGCAGAAATCGCACCTACCTCATGCGTCTCTGCCAGAGCCGGTGTGTGTTCGTTTGCTGCGTTTCAGATCGTTAAGATGACTTGGGTGGGAAGGCTGCTCATTTTGAGTCGAAGCAAACGAGGTAGCCTTTCGGTGAGCTGGTGGAAAGACGATATAAAGCGGTGAGGAAACAGAGAGGACAGACCGCAGCCGCCTCTCACCTTTTTATGCCCTCAGAGCAGAAGGAACCCCATCAGCTGGCGGAGCAATCATGACGTCACAGCCAAACACAGGACAGTCCCCCGCGCGCAGTCTCAGCACTCTCTCTCTCACGCTCTCATCCATCCACCCACCCACAGCATCCATCTATCCATCTATCTATCTATCTATCTATCTATCTATCTATCATTTACATTAAATAATATATACAAATAACTTTTCCAGAATGGGTAACAGGGTTGAATAAGTAACAGGGTTGCAAATTTAGTCTGCCATTCAAGGGGCTAACAAATGTGGTACTAAATAATGGTTTGTTTGTAGTTATTGAGAATATGTAAATGATTGAATGATTCAGCTTGACGTTTACACTACAATTTTGTGTAAAAACTGAGAAAATTGATAAATTTGTCACTGTCATTTGTAATTTTATGGTAAATAGTTTGTTACAATAGTTCAAACATGTCTAATAGGCCTCATGGCAAAAAAAAAGAAATGCTCATTTGGGGCTCAACAAACATTTTGTATTATCTGTTAAAAAGATCTTAAATCAGAGCAGAAAGTTTTACATTTATCTTTGAAGTCATGGCTTTATATGTTGCATGCACTGCAAAAAAATGAATATAGCCTATTCCTCAGTATTTGTCTTGCTATTTTGAGAAATTAAGTGTAGTTATGCATAAAACGAGAACAAATATCTGCCAATGGGGTCAGAAAAATAAACTTGTTTTTCCTTTGAATGAAATTTATTTCTCTGAGCTCACTGGCAGATATTTGTTCTTGTTCACTTCATTTTAAGGAATTTCTTTGTGTCCCCTTAAAAGCGTTGAATTCACCTTCATAAAACCTGCAGAAACCCTCTTATTAGTATATGTTGAAAACAGACGCTTAATATTTTTTTGTGAAAACTGTGATACTTTTGTCAGAATTGAAAAGTTCAAAAGAACAGCATTTATTTGAAACAGAAATGTTTTGCAACATTATAAAAGTATTTACGGTTTAATTTAATGTGTCCTTGCTGAATTAAAGTATTAATTTCTTTTTACTGACCAAAAAAAATGGTAGGCTATTTTTTCCCCTGAGAATTGAACCCACAACCTTGGTGTTGCAAGCACCAAGAACACCAGCCACTCTCTATCTATTACTCTATATAGCTCATTTAATGTGCTGGCATGACCTATCTATGTACATGTTCATGTAGCTCAAACAATATCATGGCACTAGCAATGCCAAGGTCATAGGTTCAATTCCCAGGGAATGCATGTATTAGTAAAATATTAATGCAAGTGGCTGTCAAATGCATACATGTTTACACCAATGCACATAACAAGTGTAACCATCACAAGTTACATTTATTGAGGAACAAGTAAAAAGTACAATATGTAAAAAAAATACAAAACCTGCTTCATATATCTCTAGTAATGTGAATACAAAGTGCATAGCTACCATACATGCCTGTAGCACTACAACTAAAGGACTAGTCTAAGGTAAGGTATGCGGGCATTAGAAACCCTCAAACAAAAATATAAAAATAATCAAATAGTTGTACTTGGCATAAACCAAAAAAAGTCTGTTTTTACAGCTGTCCGGTCCTGAAGTTCTCCATAACGTTTAGTGAGTCTCGGCTGACAATCTGTGATGTGTAAAAGCGTTTTCAGTCCATATTGCAGTGTTGTTAGGACAGGTCAGTCCTATGACAAAATCAGATGAGACTTAAAAAGAAAAGACCACAAGAAAAATAAATATAAAATAAATAAGACAAAAGAGTATTCATAATAACTGTCGTTCAGTCTTACACATCTTATATTTACAAAAACCGCCATCATAGACAAGACACGATTGGAATCCCCATGTAGGTGCTTCACCTGAACGGATGTTATCACAAATACAGTCATTGTTCATGTCATTCCGTGATGTGGCATATTCACACTAAAGCCACAAGCTGCCACCATCAAAATACCCATTTCAAAACAGAGCATATATTAGAGAGAAGAATTAAAATTCATGTGCAATGGAGTGTTTTGTGTGAAACAAATGAGCTCTCTATCGCCACCCCTTGGAATTAAACAGAAGTATGTGTGCGTCAATGTAATTTGTACAATCCAAGACAACCAAGGCTATCATAAACAATAAAATTATAAAGAACAGGCAGGACAGACCTATTGAAACAAAGGGGAAACCTTGGGATATTTAGTATGAATACTCATTATATGAAAGCTTATTACAGACAAGTCATTTATAATGAAAATGTACAAGCTGACATTGGTTTAGCCTTTCAGTTTTTTTAAAAAGTTTTCCCTGGCATAAAAAGGCAAAAGGCAAAAAAAACGACCAAAACGTTCAGACCATGTGCTCAATTCTTTCATGACAGTAAAAAAGAAGTAGTATCTGTCATGCATATATAAGATGACTGAATAAATAGCAAAAATGTTGGGCTTTTTGGCTTTGAATGAGACAATATTGAAAATATCCAATTCTAAAAAATAGCTGAAGACAATTAAATCCCTGTAATAATTAAACAACACTGACATCTTGAGATGCCACGTTGTAGTCAAAGCCTGATTTCATTTGTGTACTTTTCTTGTATTTATCTACAAAAATATATTGGGACTGTCTCAAAATGTGCCCAAATTATTATTAAATTATGTTGCAACATGGTTGCAAAACAAATAAAAAGAAATGAAAAATCTAAAAATGCCATGCAAAATTCATGCAAATTTTCATCAAGACAATAGTCTCCGTAGCGTTCATGCTCGTTTCCACAAACCTTAAATCAAATCTACACTTTTGGATATTTACATTAGTACACTGAATACAAGAGTGTAGATAGCCAGGCATTATTTTTGGTTGGCCATGCCCAATCTGCCTCAGCACCACAGAAAAGCTGTCTGGGGAAACGTTTGCAGTAAAACACTATGAGTTGAGTTGCCTATTAGAGGCTGAATACAGACAACCCGCACTGAAATCAGGGTTTAAAAGTGACAGTTCACCCTAAAACTAAAAATCTGTCGTCATTTACTCACCTTCACATCATCACACTTCACTTTCCTTACATTAAACTCAAAAAAGTGAGTTTTTCAAGAATATCATGCAGTATCTTTTCTGTATAATAAAAGTGAAGGGGAACTGAAGCAATCAAGACAAAAAGCACAGTAAATATTTATTAAAAGAAGTCCATATGACATAAACGCGTTTATCGCTATCATATGGCTATAAAAGACTTGGAGCATAGAGCACAGCTCAATTGTTAAGATACTTTTGGGGTGCTTTAGTCCTTTTGGAGCTTGACAGCCCCAGTCCCTATTCACTTCCATTATTTTGAATGAAGCAGCTAGATGTTCTTCAAAAACTCACTTTTTGTGTTCCACGAAAAAAAAAAAAAAAGAAATTGAAAGAGGTTTGGAACAGCATGAGGGTGAATGACAGAATAGCGACACATTTAAAAAATAAAAAAAAACACTTAGGTGACCTGTACCTTTAAATAAAACTGAGAGGAAAAAATCAGAGTACACCTTAACAATAAAGACAAAGATAGAAAAAAATAAATATATAAAAGGCAAAGATCTTCCCTAAATAATCGCTATATCCCAGCAAAATGGTGGAACATCATCTTCACTGAGCTAGAATTTAGCAGATGCTGCTCGAGGTATACTAAATACTGTACACTAAGTGCAGAGAGACAGTCTCCCCAGAGGAAGGGCAGAATGGTGCTCAAGAGTACAAAAGTGACAGCGTAGGATTGTGGTCACTGTCTAGATTTCTATGCATGATGTATGTAGATCCAGCATTCTGTGTTTGAGCGGGATAGCAAGAAAGGAAACTCATTTTCTCTGGTCTACAAAAAAAATAAAATCCTCATAGGAAATGGAATAGCGTGGTACCAGGCTCTGGAAAACAAGGACGACAGTTCAGTTTGATAAAGAAAAGTTGATTTGACTGTGAAGGAAATGAAAGAGACACATTCTCAACAAGAAAGAAAGAAACAGGAAAAGACGAGCAAGGATCCAGCTGCTCTTGAATCGAAGGCAATCCAAGAGAACGTCTTTGAGAGTGGGTTTCGACTCTCGAAGGCTTCCTAAGAATGTCAAATCAGTACTGTGGGAATGTGGCATCACCACTCCTCATCCACTTCCTGCTCCATTTTTATTTGAGGAGAGGAGTGCGGTTGAATGGACGAGAGAATTTCTTGACTGCTCTGCACCTCCTCTTTCTCAAGGTCACCGTCTTCCTCCTCTTCCTCCTCCTCCTCCTCCTCCTCCTCCTCCTCCTCCTCCTCCTCCTCCTCCTCCTCCTCCTCCTCCTCCTCCTCCTCCTCCTCCTCCTCCTCCTCCTCCTCCTCCTCCTCCTCCTCCTCCTCCTCCTCCTCCTCCTCCTCCTCCTCTTCTTCTTCTTCTTGCTCTTGCTTTTTCTGACAGCAGGGCTTGTAGAGATGAAGGTCAATCAGAACCTCCCCAAAGCGACCTTTATAGATGATGCCACAACACACCCGCTGCCTAGAGAGAATTACAAATGAACTCATTTAACTTAAAAAGTATTAATTATGATGAAAAACAAAAAGGTCAAACTCATAAATCAGACTAATTTAAAGTAAAGTAAAGACCTTTTCCAGTATGTCAGGTCCAAGAAGGAAAAGACTGGAGAGCGGGCGGAGCCAGGAGTCAACTCCGAGTCAGAGCCTTCATCTGATTGGTTACTGTAGCTGGGCGACTGGGCGGGGCTGGCGCTGGAGGTGGTGCTGTGAGCATCTGAATCTGTTAACGAAGACATTTTGCCAAAATGATCACGTGAAAAATGATTTAATAAGGAACATGTTAAGATGCATTTCATGTTGTTTTTGTAATTGAAATATGTGATCGTGTACTTACTGTGTCGCTTCAGCTCCTTCTGAACTCTGCTGAGCTGGTTCGGTCTGATCCGACTGGACAGGGATTTGACTTTCTTTGACTTCACTGTAGTTTTCAGACTGGGTCCCCCTCGCGCATCAACCACCTGATAACAATTGATCACAATAACAATCCTCAGACTGTGATGGAAATTTATTTGTTTATTAATTTATTTCCATATAATTGATATTATATTAGTTATAAACAAAGCTGCAAATATATATTCATTTCTCTATAGATATTATAGGTCAGGTTCATTTTCTATTTATTGATTTATTATATAATTGATTTTATATTAGTTCTAAACAAAACAATAAATACATTTGCTGTATATTAATTTGCATTTTTAGGCATTATATTATATTAGATCACAGGTCAGGTTTATAATTATTTTTATTTATTTATTGACATATAATATAATGCCTAAAACACAAACTAATATAAATGGTTTTGTTTAGAACTAATAAAATATATTATTTTTTTGGTCAGAATTATAATATTTTTATCATATTTGATGAAGTTTGCATTATTGATTCTGTTATTTTCCTTTATTACTATGAAGCTGCTTTGAAACTGTTTTATATAAAGCAAGACTTTAGTCATTTACTTATAGGTCAGGTTTATAATTTGTTACTTATGTATTTAGTCATATAATTAAAATTATATTATTTATAAACAAGACAATAAATAATAATAATTAAAACTATTATTATTATTATTATTAATTATTTAGATCAACTACAACAGGTTATCTGTAATCAGTGGGCCCAAACATGATTAAATTATTTTTCATATCATATGAACTGCATTAGCAAAGTAGTGACTACTACCTTGTAATACTATGTAGTAATACTATTATTATTAATACTTTTGCATCTGTTCAAATAATTTGTGCGTGTATGAAATTGTTTAAATATATGTTATTTTGAGGATGTGGGCTTCTCCAGCTGATTCTCAGTTCCTCCAAAGGTTTCCTCCTCATCTACTTTAACATCTTAGGGAGTTGCCACCTCAGCTACAGTTCACTTGTTCACTAAGGTTTCTGTGTAAGGCTGCTTTGGAACAATGTGTATTGAAAATTTAACTGAAAAGACTTCATTGTGATAAATGAGAGGCTGTGTGAGTGTGCATATGCACACCCCAGTTGGAGCTGGGAGACTGGTGAATTTGACGGAGCTTACATGATTCCAGTTCTTCTTGGAACCGACGGGAAGCTTCTTCCAGCGTTTCACCAGCAGAACACAAGCATTGCAGATTTCACCAGAGCGAGTCTCCCCTAAACTGTAGAAATATCCCATTGCATATCATTGTAATAGGAGAATGCATATGAAATCACTGAAGTTCTCACATTACAAACAAACAACATTATTTATTCCACATTATTCTAAAAGAAAAGGTCTGAACGCTTGACTAGAGATACATTATACCAATCCTCACTGTACTTAAACCAGGCAGATGTTAAAGGGGTCATATGATGCGATTTCAAGTTTTCCTTTCTCTTTGGAGTGTTACAAGCTCTTGGTGCATAAAGAAGATCTGTAAAGTTGCAAAGACTAAAGTCTCAAATCCAAAGAGATATTCTTTATAAAAGTTAAGATTCAACCACGCCTACCTAAATGTTTTTTGAACATTAAAGCATGTCAACATATTCTGTTACACCAAATACACAAAATAATGATCTTTAAAATAGCATCATATGACCCCTTTAAATATCACGTTATTACAGAGGAACCACAAGCAAACAATAGATACCAAACTCACCCAAAGCAGCTCTGAAAGTCTCTCTCATAGCGTTTGCTGTCAGTGAAACGAGAGCTGGAGGATTTTGCCCTGCAGATGCAACATCCATCAAGGCTGCGGTACATCTTTGGCTTATGAAAGCCAAACATCTGTAACACATGAATAAGACAGAAGTAAAACAACTTTCTATTTGGTACTTCTGCTGATTCAATGATTTTACACAAGATTTTAAACACAACTGGAATTTAATTTGCTGCCAAAAGTACCATGGTAAGCACAGTACCATAGTTACAAACAACTAAAGTTACTGTTATACATTCACAATTCTTTTTATTATCAATGTTGAAAAACGTTTTTACTGCTCAATATTTTTGTGGAAACTGTGAATCTTTTTTTTTAGGATTCTTTGATGAATAGAAGTTTAAGTTTCAAAATTGACGTTAAAAAGAACAGCACTTATTTGAAATATAAATCTTTTGTAAAATTATAAATGTTACTTTTGATCAATTTAATGTGTCCTTGCTGAATAAATGTTTTTGTTATATATATATAATCTTCCCCCAGACTTTTTGAATGGTGGTGTATCACAGTTTCCACCTAAATTTTAAGCAGCAAAAATTAAGCGGTTTTCAATTATAATAATAAGAAATAAGTAAGTAAATAATACTAAGAAAAACGTTTTTTTTTTTTTGAGCAGCAAATCAGCATATTAGAACGATTTCTGAAGGGTGACACTGAAGTAATGGCTACTGAAAATTCGGCTTTGCCATCACAGGAATAAATTACACTTTTAAATTATTATTTTTTTAAATAATTTTTATAAAATTATTCAGTTATTTTAAATTGTAATAATATTTCAGAATATTACTGTTTTGTTTTTGTTTTGTTTTTTATAAAATAAACGCAGCCTTTGTAAGCATAGAGACTGCTTTCAAAATCATTTAAAAAAAACTAAATTATTCCAAACTTTTTACCAGTAGTGTATGCATGTATTTCATATACTGTCTTAATAAAACATGTTCTAATAATTGGTCAACTCATGGAAATAATGGTTAAAATTACACAAAATTAATATGAAAATATTTATTGACTTTTTAATGTTGTGTCATTTTCATCAGAGTATTTTGATAATTGCTCTACATTTATGTATTTGTGTAAACACACAGGCCTACAGTAAATTTATAGTGTTACATGTATTACTTAAAGCTGCAGTCCGTAACTTTTTTTGGTTAAAAATGATCCGAAATCAAAATTTGAGCAAGTGCATAACTAGCCAGTGTTCAAAATTATCGCCTTACTTTAGCCTGTTTCACAACGGTTAGCTTATAATAATGTTTTCTAATTTGAGTAGTACGGGTAGGTTTTCGCGGGAAATTCGAGCATGGCACTGCGTCATTACGTCACGTCTGTAAACATAAAGAAGTTGTCCCGGCTACTAGGCTATATTGCATGTGAGGATCCTGCAGGTGGCGGATCGTTTATAGCCTTTTCTCACAGCAGCTTGAATAATTAAATGTACCATTTTGATGGCGGATTGTAATCCAGAAAAGATTATGTGTTTATGAAACAACTATTAATAGTTTAGCCCTATATTGGAGAGAGAGAGAGAGAGAGAGAGAGCGAGAGAGAGAGAGAGAGAGAGAGAAATATGGGTTATCAGCACTGATCTGTATATAATGTTCTCTATTATAGATCAGTGGTTATCAGTCATCATCGCTTCAGTGGGATAAGAGCATAATGGACACAGTGCTCGGTCTTATATAACCTCGGTGCTGATAGAGCCGGACACCGGCGGCCTCGCGCATCGACACCGGTGACAGCAGCGGTGCCCTCGCAAGGCATCAAATTCATACATTATAACTGGGTCATTACAGAAAACGCATCTGTCCGATGTCTATCTGAAGCCTCTGCATTTTCATTTTTAATTACAGCCCATATATGTATATTAATATTTAATAATATTTCTAAAATTATGCACTGTACATAGTGCGAGGGTTGAACTGGCGCTTGTATATTTTGCCTCTGACGCAATTCAAATATGGCAACGCGTTTGAGAGGAGAGGAGGGGCAGAAAATGGGGGCAAGAAAGTAATGCAATAACGTTACGGGAACCGCGACCAAACGTGCTATTAGCACGTCTAAATGTGTCGTCTAAAGTTATCCAGATAACATAACATGGACATTATCAGTGTTTCGCGGTGTTTAAATGTTCAACCGTCCGCACACTGCGGTGAAATGGTGCGTGTGTCCCGCCGTATTCACCGCCCACCAGCTCCCGCGGAAGCATGGCACGCCACACGGCATCTTTAAACAGACACATTCAGCATGTTTTCCCCGCAGTTTCACCGAAAACGACTTCCGCTTGGTGCGAGCAACTAATTGACGCGCTTTCTTTGATGCCAGGGGTGCTCATCGAAGAAAGACGGTTGAATTTAATCGAACTGCTCGTGCGCTGCTCTTTGTTTTCCGCGCGACTCTGCGTCAGTGGCTCGTGCGACTCCATGCTGTGCGCTCGAGACTGTAAACACATGCTGTCCGCGCAACAACTTCGCTCAAGAGCGTGGAGCCTAACAAAACACGCATTTGCGTGTTTATTTTCATCACGGGGCAATATAAGACACTTTTAAACAGTCCACCGGAATACTAAAATAAAATATCGATTTTTTTTTAAGCTCGCGTTTAAATGCGTCAATGACACCGCCTCCATCGCACATGCAATGAATCTTTTAACAGTAACACAGCTCTAATCGTTATATAAACGTTGAACTTCTTGAGTTAGTGAAGCAGAAGTTTAAAAACGTTGATGAGCGTGTGAAAATGCGGGTTTGTTTTGAAGCACACCCACCAACAGCCGAGTTAAGAGACCACACACAGTCAAGACGGACAGTTCTGTAGTACCACAAGTTCAAAACGAGAAGAAACGGCGAAACTGGTTTTCAATGCATGCATATAACACCAAGTATACATATAAATGAGAATGCATGTTCGCTATCATAGCTTTCACTATTATAGTTATCACCTAGGCTAGTTCAACCAGTCCACGAATGCAAATTGTTTAATTTAAAATGCAACCTTGACCATTTCTGTCAAAACACTCGTCTGAAACGCATTTTTGTTTACGTCTGTTCGGATAAGTGTAATAGAAATGTATTTCGGCTTCAAATTAATCAATTCTATTATCAAACACTTAACAGCGATCATCGGCAAAGGATGCGAGCGCCCTAAAATGTGATGCGCTGTATGGGCAGGAGCCTCCTCAAGTGTAAACTCTAAACTTATCGCACGCTTTTATACTGAAGCAAAAATGTAAAACAATTTCAACAAGCCTTAAAAGTGATCTTACTGCTACATTTCTAATGAATGCGACAGCTTTCACCCGGGCATCGCACTGTCACGCAACTTCTTTAGGGGGCCTTTCGAAAGGCACACACAAAAACTGTTAAGTTACTTTTAAGAAAAAGCCCTTTTTTCTTACCTCGACTTGGAGCAGTTAAAGTCAAATCACACAGCGAAATCCAAGAGTTACAGGCGTTACTCATTTAACAATGCGCCACTCGTTACTGTCTCACTTTCTGTCTGAGTATAGTAAAATGTTTACGCATGCGCCGAGCTCCATCCACCATTTTCTGAATTTCTTCAATCAATCTCATTTGCATACGTGGCTGACGTTTGACTGCGTCTGCATTCTATTGCCCATATAAGGAAGAGAAAATTACGCGGGAAACGTGGGCGGGTCCGGTTGCTAGGGCAGCAGGCAGTGCACTGCTATCCCGGTGGGCGGAGTTACGCTCTACTACTACGAGGACAGCAGATGTCGGAACAAACGCAGCACATCTTCCTCGCTCCGTGTCCGTCAGCCATGAGCACATGTCGGTAACTCCGTCTTCGGTACTTCATCATGGAAATAGTTCGAGAGAGCTGTTTTGGGGCTCTCTGTAGAATAAATTAAATAGGTTGAAAGAGCTAAACGACATTAGACCTTATAAATGTAACATTTTTAACCAAAATTTAGATCGGTTTCGGGACAAAATCGTTTAATTCCCTCAATCATATTTATAGGGAAAACTAGGAAATGTAATTTTTTTTTGTTTGTAGCTCCCTGTTTTTTCCCCCTCAAACTTTGATGTAATATTCCTATATTTGTTTGTTACAAATTAGAAGATTACATGTGTACTTAACTGTAAATTAGTGTCACATAAGTAGGCTATTAGTGCTTTTGTTTCACCACTAAACTGGATGGGTTATAATACTAATAGAAAACATGCACAATAGAACAATAGAAAACATTTTACATTTTGTGCATGAATTTATTGTGGTAGCCTAATCAACTTTACATTTTGTCTAAAATAACTGTTATGCCATCACGATCACTAACCCTAATTTCCTTTTTAGCTAGCCTACTATTTGTTATAATTATGTATTTTAAAAAAGGGGTCAAGGTATAGGTAACACTTTAATTCAAAACCAGCAAATTAAATGGGAAGCCATACAGTAACTGTAATTTAACATTAATTTAGAATCACAAATCAAATTATAATAGAGACATGTACTTTTACTTAACTTTTTGCCCTGTAAATGCTTTATATTTTTACAGCTTCTACTGTCATTGCAGGAGCTTGGTGCTTATACTTTCTCAGAGGAAAAAAAGGTACAAAATTGGTCACTGGGGTAGTACATTTTCAAAAGATACTAATACCATTTAGGTACTAATCAGTAGACTGTAGATAATATGTAATTTTAAGGTAGGCCTACTAAAATGCACTCTTTATGGGTAAATAAGGTACAAAAGTGTAGGCTACATTAAAAAAAAACATACTGCCCCAGTGACAGCTTTTGTACCTTTTTTTATGAATGAACAAGCTAATTTGTAACTGGTTAAACTGTCATGTTGCAACACTCCCATTTCTGAGAAATCTCAGGTTTCTACTATAAAAACACATAATTGATGCTGATGCCTATGAGACAGTGCAGAACATTTGTTTCACAGATGCCATCAGCACGTCCCTAAACTAAAAATAATGTTCCGTGAAGAATGACTCTTCATAGAGGAATGTTCTCTAGGACCTAAGCGCTGTCCTGGAATACCATTCATGCCTACCGCATCTTAAAATAATGTCCCGTCTGCACACACCGTTCACAAGATGACAAAAAATTCAGAGAGGACACAAATATAGATAGGGAGTAATTTTAATATGTTGCTTTACAAATATAAACATGGAGGATTCAACTCATTTTAGACAAGGAGCTTTTTATAACACAATGTTTGGAAGCTTTCATTACAGGAAAAAAAACAGATGGAATGAGGCAAGATCTAGAAGAGGAACAAATTCATTTACAGCAACAGTACTTCTCCCAGATCTAAAACATGTTGCATGCATCAGCACCGCAAACAAAGGGACAGTTCCTGTGGGTTCCTCATCCCTCCAGCGAGAGGATTCTCTGGGATTTCAGCAACTTTTGGGGTCTAAAACAATGTCGACTTTTACACAAGACGGACATTCCATACTATACAAAGCTTGAAAGCAGATTTACTCAAATAAATAAATGATCCAGTGTCAGCTTACTGCATAAATCACCCCAAGATAGCATCAATACAAAATCAACCAGTCACAAAAGCATCATCCTAAAATAAATACATACGAATGATCCGAGTCATTATAAAAAAGAAATGAATAAAATACACAGGTTGACGAGCTACCACACACAGCTCTTAGATTAAATGCTGAGAGTCTTACAAAAACAAAACTTAAGTAGCATTAAGTGATTCAAAGCTGTTATTCATCCTGTAACAACTGTGTTTATCTGTAAATTCTACTTTTCTCTCAGCAGGGTTTCCGTATTAAAACTGATGCATAAAAGAACAAACATCAAGGGTGATTTAAGGACAATAATTCTTCATTTCTAAGCAACGTGCAAGTACTGCAGTAATCAAACATGGATTTACAAAGTAATTGCTGCGTTTAGACCTTCAATTAGTGGTAAATACTAGGGTTTAAACTTGATATTTAAAGCACCCCCACAAGTAACTGTAAGAATTCAGATTTGAGAGATTTTAACTGTGACTATAAGTTTAATGGCTAAAAAGAACGTGAAAGAAGCTTATTGCTTTACGTTGATTTCCAGTGTTTCTTAAAAGTAAAAAAAAAAAAAATCAAACGTGATACTGAAGTATCTAAGAATGAAGTTAATACTCATTGGCAAAATAAACACATCTTCCCAAATGTTAATCTGATAAACCAGCCACACACACGCACATTACTATCACACATAAACACATCTTGTAACATACAACGATTCACATGTTGGAATGTCCTATTTCTCTGAAAATTCATTTGACAGGCTTTTAATCAGGAGAATGTTTCAAATTGACACCCTCAAGTTAGGACTATTCAAAATCAAGAATCTTTCTTTCAAACTGACAGCCAATCAGAACACTGATAGCATTGGTTTAAACACCCAGACATTGATTTACAGATAAAATTCAAGTCATTAGAAACACTTGATGTCTGAATTCCTCAAGTATAATCATTTTGCCTGTCAAATGATGGTTATTGAATGTGTTGGACATATAATCTTGTCAGTACTAAGGCTCCTCTGTATCATGACATACTTTTGCAAAAAACAGTGCTTTCTAAAGACGACACATGATCTGAAGCAGAAATGCTAGCGGATTTGACTCGCAGACAGATGTGTACGAAAATGACCACAGGTTTGAAAGCAAAAAATGTACGTCTTCTCAATAAAGCCGTCAACGCTTTCCGTTAGAAAGAGCACAACTCCAAATACTGCTACAAAACACACTTCTGAGTTCATTTGTGTGGAGGTGCAGGAGTCAAGTCATGTTGAGAGATGCTTTGATAAGTCCTCAGTCATTCCCTGGTCAGCGAACACACAAGGCAGAGTCACTTGTAGAGCCGCTTTGGCCCTGAGGGTGGCAGCATGGGGAGCAGTCTCAATTTGACCTCAGCATGTGGAGTTACAGCTCAATGCTTTTCGTTAGAGAGCTCTCCAGTGTGATGGGGAAGTCATGCAGCGTTTCCAGAACTGCGATGAGAGAGCTGACGGTGAGTTTGTCTCGCAGTAACGCATTCTCCTCATACATGCGTGTGATGACGGGGCATTCGGCCAATAGAGGGAGCCACTGCGGCAATAATCGGTCTCTGTGAGAGTGGGATACACGTGCAGACAACTCTTGAGTACATTTTGCTATTAAAAAACAAAATTAGTTTGCTTTTAAGAAGCATGTGTGTGCTCACCTCGCCCCGAGGCAAACTAGCAGCTGGAACTTGCCATCCTTGCCAATGTTGCGTGGCATATTGTTAATGGCGTTGACGTATCGACAGAAAGATTCACAATTCAGGCCTAGAGGCTCTGGTGTTTCTTGCAGGTCTCCAATCTGATCTGCATTCTCCACAAATGCTACTGCTTTCTCTGTACAACACACAGACATTATAAACTTATGTTTTAAGTAGGGCTGTGCAAAAAATCTAATGCGATTTTCATGCGCATCTCGTCAGTAAAGGCGCTCCTGTGATTAGTAGTAAATCTCCAGCACGTGCTTTCAGATGGAGTGGCATTTACTACACAGTGCCGTAGATCACTGACAAGCTACACGAAATTGCGTTCAAAATCGGCAATGAATCGCCTGTGATTTTGAACGCGATTTTGTGTAGCTTGTCAGTGAACTACGGCTCTGTGTAGTAAATGCCGCTCCATGTTAAGCAACATATTATTATATATTTTAAGCAGCATAACAATGATAATAAAAAATAATTGTTTTGTATCACATACAAAAACAATACTAAATGTTTAATTGTCATTTTGAAGTACTGTTGGAGGACATAAGTGTAAATTAATTATTAAAAATAGTTTACTTCAAATTTCAAAATATTTTATTCACAAAAGTCTTTAATGAGCCCTATATAATGAGGCTTTAAATGAGAAGTTATAAAGTTATACATTAAACATGATTAAACCGTTATTTAAGCCCCTCCAATATATACATATATATATAAACATAAACTGATAAAAAGTGATAGTAAAGACTTGTATTGTGAGGAAAGATTTCTATGCTGCTCTTTTTAACTTTTTACTCATCAAAGAATCCAAAGAAAAATATATCACCGGTTCCAAAAAAATATTAAGCAGCACAACTGTTTCCAACATTGATGATAAATCAGCATATTAGAATGGTTTCTGATAGATCTATATGAGTTTTTCTCTTTTAATCTAACAGGGAAACATTTAATAAGCTATGCTTACCATAGAAATCCCACACAAAGACATTTTTCTGGAAGATTCGAGCTGAGCGGAATCCATGATGGAAGAACTGCTCCAGTGCCCAAACAAGACCACCTTCTCCACACAGCAGGACCGTAAGACTGCCCCTCTGAAAGCGCAGACAAACCTTTAGATTAAAAAAAGGTTACAAGGATAACAAAAAGTGACAATATTCATAAGTGGGCATTGTCATACCTCTTTTTCTGGTTTGTGGAAATGCTTTATAATATTGTTAACTGCTTCACCGGTGGATTCCTGTATCTGTACGGTTGTTGGTTCTGAAGAGAGAAGGATTGCATTTAACACATTTATTAAAAAGATTTAACACCTAAACAAATGAATGTTACTTAACATTAATTATCATTATAAAAACAGCTTAGAATATACATTCACATTAGATGAAGACGATCATATCCAGCAGCCCAATAAAAGCTGATTTAAATACAAGGAGAGGGTCCCTTCATGGAGGTGACTATTTTGAGATCACATTACTAATATAACCCACATTATCAGATAAATTTGTTTAACAAAAATAACTTAACTGTTCCTGAATACCAATAGAGCATTTCTACAATGTCACTGATAACTAAAAACAACGACGTTTGTGCAATGCCACATTCTAACCACTAGGTGTCAGTATAAGTCCAAGATGACCGCCAGCACAACAAATCAAATTACTGAGCACCTTTGAAATTTAAGCTAAACTTACTGTTTCCACGTCCTGTAAGTGATGTGATGCTGATTCGTCGAATCTGGGAAGGTGATCGCTGAAGGGGCGGAGTCTTAGAACCTCGGCCTCCGTCGTCATCACTGCACGGAACTACAAACTCACCTATCAGAACTCGCTCAAGACTGCCATCATCCACACCCTTCCCCAGCCACCTGCCACACGGGAACCTGGAAAGGACGACGAGTAAATAACAAGAAAACCATAAAAAGAACAGGATAAACGGCAAGAGAATAAAGTAGGCTGTACTTGTATGTGTGGCCGGTGATCTCATTGCGGACCATGACACAATCCACCAGCCACTTGGCAAGCAAGCCAGAATTATCATGACCCAGCTGCACTGTTGTCAACTTCCCGAGGTTCTGACACTGTAAGACACACATACAGAACAGATAAAGGCAACGATGTCAGAGGCATTAAGAGGCTGTCTGAGAATAACTGAACAACAGGTGTGAGGGTGTGAGCAGCGGAAGGACAACAAGATAGTAAAAGTGTACATAGTAATCCCACGGCTCTAAAAACATCCCAGAATTGAAGTGTACAAATAGGGTCCAAAATTAACACCCTATAAGCTCCAAATACTAGTTAATGACCTGAGCCACCACAAATGTATATATATATTAGATAATTTTGGATCCTGTATACAATACATAATAATAACAGTTACTACAATTACTTTTACTACAGATGTTAATTTTTATGTTATTTTTAGATTTTCATGTTAATCTAGATGTTTTTTTTCCTCAAATATATGTTTGTCCAATTATAACTGGGTGTTGTACAAAATGTGGGATGCAAAAAAATCACAAGATTTAAAGCTAACCCAGGAACCCAAAGGAGAAAAAGAGGAGATCTCTCTAAGTACAGAAGTAGAAAAATGGAGCGATGGATGAATGGGGAGAGAGGGAGGTATACAATGGAGGGATGTGCACCTAACCTTGAAAGCGATGGAGATGTGCGTGTGAGGCCTAAAGGCAGACTGCGAGAGGACACAGAATGAGTTAGAACATGATGGGTGATTGACAGCAAGAAAAATGGCAGTGATTGGTTCTATGAGGAGGGATGTAAGAATAATATCTCCTTCATCAAAGTTATAGATTCATGGAAGTGCATAAATAAAGAGGCTTTGATCACTAACGCACGAATCACCATTTCAGTTTGAAAAAAAAAAAAAAGAAGAAATAATCTGGACAACGAGAATCATTTCAGTAGTGAGAGAATGCAAAATATTTTGAAAGACTACAGCAAAGAAAATTTCACAACAGTTATGTGAATCTCATTTTTTCCCACTCTATTCACCAAATTATATTTTGCTTAAAGAAAATTTGCATTTTATGATGATTTAGATATTACGTAAAAATATATGTAATTTAACAATTTTAATAATAATATTAATAATGTAATAAAATGTAGAGATTATATTTATATTCCTCAATTATTATCTTACTGCAAAATTTAAATAAAAATGGTTTAAATGGTCAACAATTTATACTTTACAGTAGTATTTGTACTGCCTTTAATTTTTCCTTTTTAAATTTGCATTGCCAATTGAAATAAAAGTCACAGTATTACAGTACATCGTATTTATTCCATTAAGCACAATATGTTTGGATGAATTATGGTAATGAGAAAAATTAAATTAAAATTTAAAAAAAATAATTAAAATATTACTATAAAATATAATGTGAAATGTGACATTGTTATCTTGAGATTTATATATTTTTTCCTTAGATATTTCGTTCAGCTATATTTCTGTCATTTCCATAAATAGTTTAGATCTAACAGATGTTCGAAAGACCTGCAAGCACACTCAATTCTGCAGATGGCAGGATGGATGATTTTTCAGTCCCACAGGAAAACAAGCTGTGTGCCACACTCAAAATAAACTGCTGTATCAGTTTCAGAGCAGAACAGCTGGAGTGTGAAGTCATGGCACTCACGTCAAACGTCATTTCCAGAACGTTCTTCGTGATCTGCAGGATGCCAGAGTCGCCCAGCTCGCCGGACACACACAGCCAAGGGTTGGACGTCGTCATTGCGTTACTAAGCTTCTTGATGGGAATGATAACGGCCCTGTATGGAATCACTTAGGGGGGAAAAAAAACATAAATTAGGCTGTAACTAAACAGCATTATACAAAAAGACAGAAAAATGAATTTATGCTATTCATCATCCTTGTTGTGCAGCATAAATCTGAGTTTTTCATGCCTTGGTCAATCAATCAATCAATCTGGCCCACAGCATCAAATCAATATCAAGTACCGGATATGCAATGAGATGCTGTTCCCTGCTGTTTTGTATGAGCGTTTGCATCACATATGTAACCAGATATTCAAGATTTGAGGGAACAAATGTAAAACTTTAACCCACATCAACTGACTATGTAGATACAGTCCCGAATTGCATATCTGTACATCTGTGTGTGTCTCTCTTTCTTTGGGACGTACTTATGGTGGTGAAGACGCTGGTAAAGCAGAAGTAGTCCACGGCATTCAGGCTCAGGAGATGAAAGAGAAACTGCTCTTTTTCCTCTTCGCAGCGCAAGAAGGCGTAACGCTTGTACAGCTTCCTGTGGGAACATTGCATACTTAATAACAGGTGCACTTACTTGAAACGGGTCAGCGTGCGTGTGCTTGTTTGCGTCACTCACAAATTCATGTGATGAGCATGTCTTTTGGTGTGTATGTGGGAGTCTGAAATGCCTGCAGGTGTGTGTGTGTGTGTGTGTGTGTGTGAGAGAGAGTGTAGATAGGAGTAGGGATGTGTGTTATGTATTGTACGTACTTGGTTAAGGCCTGGTTAGACAGCAGCTGTTTGAGATGCTGGGAAAGTAGTTTTTTCTCCAGGGACAGACGGATCCAGGCACGTGCTCGACCCACATCTGTTTTAATCTCTCCCATGTTCTGGATGTGTCTGAGAAGTCGAAAGAGAAAGGATGATGAAGACAGACAGAAAATCAAAAACAATAGTGTAATTCTCTGTATGTGGGTTGAAGAGGCCGCAAGCAACAGAACCTTGTGGGTGTAAATCAGTCTCTGTTTTAAAAACATCATCGTCAACTGAATTATTATACAACCAACAAAGTACGCACTACTGTATACAACATTTAACTGTCCTCAGGCAATAAACGCACCTCATATCCTGTATGAGTGATACACGTAATGCAGGAAGACCAACACTGGACTCTGGCTTCCGCTTTTCCTGGCCATTAGACACTGCAGAGCGAGAAACAGTTTCAGCACTTAAACAGAGACGTTTTTGAAGTTTTTTTGCTGTTAGCCTGTTATCATACTTGGCATGTAGAAGTGTTTGGCCTGAAACATAGTCTAAACATACTGTACACATGAACACAATCCCTTCTAAATACACAAACTCAATGTCAAAATGCAATTTGAAACTCAATTGCATTTTGAAATCACTATAGCAGTTGTGAACAGGAAAAATTTGCTTATTTCTATGAGAATCACCAAGCAATTTAAAGTTAGCTAAACGCTTCCCCAAAGCAAGGAAAAACAAAAGATTTGTCTAAAAAAAATGCATATTGTTTTTTGCGTACAAATATATTTACACTTCAATATGATTCAATAATGCTACATGTTAGCAATACCACTTGCAATCAGTATCAAGCATTCCAAGCATGACAACTACTTTATCAAATCCTACTTTAATCACTTTACATATGACAAATATATCACAAACAAGGTTTAGTGTTTTAGTTCAGCTAACTGTGCTAGAGGCGCCAAATGACAATTCATGTTTTGCGAGATGAACCTCAACTAAATGCAGCCCTACAGAAACTAACACCCCTGTAAGTCATTCTATAATTTGCACAGTGACTTGATTAGAGTCGTTTCGGGGTCTTATGAACTGAAGGGTTGTTTTTTTTACCTGGAGACTCTGACAGCTGTTCGTTTTTCTCTTCTCTCACCTGGTAGTGCAATAAATGAGACCACAGCGCAGACTTTCCCTATGAACCAGGATGACAGCACACAATGATTCCCAGCGTTAGGCTGTATGTGTTATAATGTGAAATGCATTTCCATTTGTTTGTGTCTCACCTGTTTGACCTGTAGACCGTGGCTCCATATTCTCTCCAGCAGGTCACACAGACTGGCTATGAGTGTGTTCTCCTCCAGGCCAGTGATGTTTGCTTCTCCATGGCCCAGTTCAACAGCCTCTCTGCCCATTTTCTCCACCAACATACGCTTGGTCTGAACATCCATTGATTGACATCATTAAAAACTACATTCCAACCTTTTCAACACTGACTGAGTCTAAAGTCTTTAATGCAGCAGACAAGTGGGTCAGACTAGTAATTATGCTTGTACTAAGACCCGGGTTCCCACACTTCTTGACCAATGCATTTCTATGACTTTTACATGACCTGTCCAGTGGTTCATGATTACTAGATAAGGATATTAAAATTCATTACACAGAAATTGCTGGGGCAGATTTCCATTTGTTCCATTCAATTAATAAACGCATGCAATTATACTTATTAATTTACAACTGTCTCCAGTGAGACTCTCAGCAGACAGACTGATATTATGACAGTGGCTTGCATTAAATTCTACTCTACAAAGAATAATGCCTAATCCGAGTATTTTTCATGCCTTGGCAAATAACCAATAAATGTCCAATATTATGATTTTATAATGATTGTGTCATTGTTTTTTTGTCATTTAAAATATATACATATATATATATATATATATTAATGCTAGTAAATTTAGGCATCACAATATTATAACTTACAGTATCAAAAATAGATATTCATTTGAAGATTTGCTAAATATGAAGGATTAGGGCTACACAATTAATAAAATTTCTAATCGCGATTACAATTATGGATGCCACAATTATGTAATGTTAAGAATGTTTTCAGCTTGTTTATTTTCATATAAAAATACGGCATGCAGTTGCATCAAACAATGGTATAAACATTATTCAATATAAATTGTGATCATAGTAATTAATAATCCCAATTACAATTTCAAGGGAATAATCGACAATTGTGATTTTTGTCATAATCGTGCATATAGCCTATTACTCCCATAACATCATAAGCTTTATGGGTTTTTATGTGCCGTGAGAAAATGCTTACAAATCCTTTCATTGCCAACGGCTCATTGCGATACATCTGTGCGGCCAAAACAGACATATTCATAGATTTAATTCGTGGAATTTTCCCTCCCATCTCACCTCGAGCTCTTTGACAGCGAAATCCCACTTTGTGCTCGTAGCCCTATGAAGGATTTAAAAACACTGTTAAATTTAGTGTTTTTAAAGAATAATTTTAAGAGATCTTTAAGAGATCACAGCAAATGTAACCGAATATGAAAAGACATGAAATTAGCATATGTAATTAGATAGCCAATATCATCAATGCCAATAAGTTTCAATAAAAAAAAAAAACTCCAATATCAGTTGATAAGCAATATTCTTAATTTCCAGGTTTTCCATGCCAGTGGGAATCTTGTTAAAACACACACACACACACACTTACAAATACATTCATATGTGCATATTAAACTCATCCTGACCTTCATTTTGCATTCTTTCAGTAAACCCTCCACAAACTTCCAGTTGGTCTGAGCGATGACCGCAGGGGACAGGTCTGATAGTTTGGGCTGTCTCAGTTTCTTCCCCAGGTTACGGGCCTCCTGCACGTACTTCTATACAAAGAGATCAGGACACAGACATTTAAGAAACCAAACACATTTCAAAAGGTTTAAATAGTTTGCTTGTTTTTACTGTGTATTAATACATGTTATTTACAGAAAAGCAAGATATATTATGCTGCAACAGGGGGTTTATTACAAAGCAGAGGATTTATTTTATTTTTTATTTTTTGTGGGGTCCTGTGGGGTTTATGATTGCTGAGTGACTGGGTCGGTAAGCACTCACTACTGAAACTCCCCTTTATAAAAGAGCGTGTGGGAACATCCAGGGGCAGGATTGTGTGCACGGCAGAGTTCAAAGGTCACTTTGTGTCTGAGGGGAGGGGCTTCGAGGAATTCTGACATCTGGGAGGAGTTTGTTAAGGGTATGTTAGGAATGTTTTAAGTCGGTCATATTATGGCAGGCCTCCACATACCAGACAGCAGGCTGAGAAGGACTTTTTAGGCGGTTTAATAGGTGGGGGTGGCGCCTTATCCCACTCCCAGAAAGCCATAGAGTTCTGCAGGAGCAAACACCCCTCCACCTGCCGTGAGGTGGTACGGCCCACACAGCATACAAACACACACAGAAACGATGGAGAAACAATAGAAAAGGAAAGGAAAGAAAAAAGCAGCATGCACATGAATGTGAGGCAGTCAGACAAGAAAAGGAAAGCGAGAAGACACTTGAAAAAGAAAATGCAAGCTCAGAAGTAAAATAAAACGGAGACAAATGAAGAAATGAGAACAGGCAGATTCACAAAAAGCCCAAGAGGCCTTTGCATTAAGCATGATTCATCAGGAACCATTTACAAGTCAAATTTCAAGTAAATCACTTACAGCACTAAAGGCCATTTATGTGATTCAGACATCAGGAAACTGTGATTTATGAAGAATTACTGTTCATTATCATATTTGTAAGAGTGCACTGAAAAATGATGTAAAACGTCATATTCTTGAATAAATCATTCTTTTGAGTCAGATCTTGAAAATTAATCAACTGATTTGATTTACAAAACGTTATTTTAGTTTTGTTATTTATGTACCATTATTGTATTTATTAATATTTTGAATTACTTTTCAGTTTTATATTTTCAGATTTAATTTTCAATTTCAGTTTATGTTTTAGAATTTTTTTATTTGCTTTGGTCATTGTTATTAATTTATAAAACAAATATTTCAATTGATCTTTAATTTGTTTTTATTTCAACTTCAGTAATTTTAGTAATTCAACTTAAAAATCAGAAATGTTGCCAACTACATAAAGAATAAATCAGTTTAAGCCTTTTAAAGCTTCATTTTTTTCCATCTAATATTTATATTTTATTTTAGCTTTATTTCAATTGCTGAAAACATTTTTTTCAGTTCTAAATCATTTTTTTTATATTTTAGTTAAGAATATAAACATTGAGCCTGTTCCTCAAACAAAACCATCACAAATTACAGCATTTGTTACATTTACGGTATTTTTTGCTCAGTTTTTGAAGCTCTTTTCCCATTTATTGTAATTGCATGGAAAAGAGCAACATCATCTTTTGTGTTCCATGGAAGAATGTAAGTCTCATGGGTTTCAAACAACATGAGGGTGTGTAAATGAAACAGAATTATCATTTTTGGATAAACTACCTTTTATTTACTTTGTGATCTGCCAACAATCAGCTTTATCTACCATCTGACAAATAAGGCCCTATGAAAGCACCAGTATAAAAGAGATGGAGTAAGTAAAAACGATGGAAGGAATTGCATACAAAAGTCTGTGCTAATCAAGGTCTGCACACAGAACAAGGGCTGCGTTTACACTGGCACAAAAAAAATCCGATCTTTCGCTCACATCTGACACAGATCGGAATTTGTTGCACACGTGTAAACACAAAAACCCGCACGAGATCCGATTTTTTTGCATCCGATCTGAACCACTTCCAAATGTGGATTTTAATCGGATACACATCTGATATCTGGACATCCGACCTACGTCTTAAACACACATATCCGATTCTCCACAGAACTCCCAATGCGAGGGCGACACGTTTGCTCATAAAGATTTTTAATGCCGGCGTGCTGTATGCGCTCGCATTTTATTGAGATGGAAACTTTTTATAGGTAAGAAATTGCACATTCAGGAGCTGGTTTTCAACCCCCGCACCGTGAATTTTGAAAATACAACAGCTAAAAGCTACATATATTTCTCAGCAATGAGGTGATAACTTAGCAGTTTTTGTAATTAAACCGACAAGCTACCGACAAGCTTGTTTGCAATGCTTCACAACCGCTCGCTCGCACGTAGGTGCATGCGTGAATTAGTTCGTTCTCTCTCTCTCTCTCCTTAATTAATTCGAATTCATTTCAATAAATATCATCTTTATTTCACTAAAGAATTCTACCTCTAACGAGCTGTAGATAAAATAGTCTAACAAATTCAAATTACCGTTATTTTCCGGTCTTTATCCGTTCATTCAGATTTTGTGCTGCAAAACATCCATGACAGCCGTTGTCCATGCTGGCAAATAATAATGGCCATTCGACGTGAATTATATAAATAATTTTAAAACACAGCCATTTAAAACCCGAGGGTCTACCATGTGCATAGTAAAGCGATCACTGCAGACAATCCTTTTGGGTGGGAATTAATGTAAACACAGATATCGGATACCAGTCGTGTCTAAAGTGAATGTAAACAGACGTGCCAAAAAATCGGATATGGTCAAAAGATCGGATCTGTGCATTAAGACTTGCAGTGTAAACGCAGCCAAGATTAAAAGAAAAGAGAATGGAGGAGAGAAGCTGAAGAGGAACAAATGCTGCAGTCTCACCTCTTTGAGGTCATTGTCCAGCACAAGATGGTCATTCTGCTGTCTGTGACAGTCCACTCTGCGCTGAGTCGAGCATATGCGATTGGACCACCTGATCACAGAGGGTTTCCATTATTAGATCTTCCCACACACACACACACACACATACAAGCTTTGAAGAGTTTACTTAAGTGTTTTATTTCTTGTCACAAAGTAAATGAAAATAAATAAATGTTTTATTATTGAATATTGAAGTGCAACTAAAAACAGATGCATTTCAGCATCTCTTGTCTTTTAAAACTACTACTGACACTGAAGTGTTACATGCCCCACACTGATTGCTCAATCTCTCATAACTGTGTCATGTGCCATAAAGAGGACTCACTTGTTGTTGGTGGGCCCTGAGGCGAGCACATCAGCCTGCAATTTGGGGAAGAATCCCTGCTGGTATTTTCCTTGGCCAATCTTCATATCCAGCAGGTGAGGATGGATGGCTGTGTGGTCGATCTTTCTCAGCCGCTGCTCTATGGCCTGGGCTGGAAAGGAGAATCACAGCTCGAGTGAGAGGGGTTAGGCACTGTGTCGTGACTGCTCGAGGCTAGACTTCCACAACAGTAAAATAAAAGTAGTTGAAAATAAACTGTAAGGTATGAGCAAATCTGCTCTTAATTAGATGCACAATTATTTTACAAATAATGTGCTTCAATCATGAAATCTGAGCAGAGTGACTTGTATTTGAAAATAAAATAAATATTCAAAAATTCCAAATAATAAAAAATAAGATGTATAAAAATAAGAAATAACAATAATAAACCAAGTATAATAAATAATTAATAAATATTATTATAAGTATTTTGATATTGTTATACTTACATTATAATATAAGCATAATAAACAATAAGTACTATTTTATTAAGAATAAGAAATTATTTATTATTGTTGTTGTTGTTGTTATGGTTATTGAATAGTTTTTATAAATTAATATAATAATAATTTTACACTTGAGCTTCAATAATCAAATGAGCAGTGACTTTAAAAAAATAACCTAAATAAACAATTAGAATTATAAATAATAAAGCAAGTATAAGTGTTATTGTATATTGCAGTTTTTATAAATAATAATTTTACACATGAACTTTAAAAATTAACTATGAGCAGGGACTTTAAAAATAACAATAATAATAATAATATAATGTAAATAATATAAAATAAATAATTAATAATAATTGTATTACTGTAGAACAATAATTATAATTATTTTATCTTATTATATTATTAATTAAAAAACAATGCTATAACAATAATAATAATATATTATTATTATTATTATTTATTAGCCTGACAGGAAAAATGAAGTGGCTACAGTAGTTGTACAGTGCATTAGAATGAGAAAGCTTCATTGATTCTTTTCCAGAAATTGGAATAAATTCAAACTTTGTTTTCATGCTAACATAGTCATTTACTGCCTAGCATTTTAACTGTGCAACAAATATAACAATCAAATGTTATCACTTCCATAGTGCATTTTGTTTTCAAAAATGTTGGGCAACTCATATAAGGCATCTGTGGGCAGTGTGCCATTTCAGAAGCACATTTTTTAAGCCAGCAGCATCCATCTCTTAATAGTGACCTTCAGTGTGACAAGAGGTTATTGACCTAACAATGGTACTGAGGGCTTAGCGAGCAGACGCACACTCAACAATATTCAGCACACATACACACACAGGCTTCCCAAGATAGCACAATACAGCGCCAGGCACCCGTTCTTTTCTTTTCAGCATTTGGCAGCCTTTCAAAAGCGATCCATTCATATGACTCATTTGAGGACACTCTTCAGTTCTTTCATTCTGTGCTCCTCTCCTCATTTTTCAACCACTTCTGCTGTTTCTCTTCCCCCCCGTCTCCTCGGCCCCTCAGCCGCCCTCTTGAACTGTCACTCTCTATAATCATCTGGGCACATAATCAGCAGCATTTTTTTTTCCTACAGGCTTCATTAAAATTTAAACACACAATTTGTAGTGACAGAGCAATGACTGGGGAATAACCATCGGTTCAGAAAAAGAATGATGAAAGGTGCTCTGCTGAGGACGTGATTGCACAAAACTCAGTAAGGCATTAAATGAGAAGACTTTTTCAATGCAGCAAAACTCAAAGATTTCCGAATCCGTTTATAGAGACAAAAAACACTAAAAACAACATAAACCACCCAACAGTAAAAAAACATTTCAAAGACCTCAATTTAATCAACATAAAATGGTACCGCACTCCTTTTAACCCATGTAATGTGACATACACCACCATTCAAAAGTTTTTTTTTTGAAGGAAATTAATCCTTTTATTTTAACGAAGATGCATTAAATTGATCAAAAGTGACAGTATAGACATTTATAATGTTACAAAAGATTTCCATTTCAAATAAATGCTGTTTTTCCCCCCAGTTTTCTACATTGAAAATAATAATTAATATTTCTTGTGCACCAAATCAGCATATTAGAATGATTTCTGAAGGATCATGTGACACTGAAAACAGGAGTAACGGCATCACAGGAATAAATTACATTTTAAAATAACTTTTCTATTTTAATTTGTAATAATATTCCACAATATTACTATTTTTACTGAATTCTTGATCAAATAAATACAGCTGTGGTGAAATTTCTTTCAAAAACGAACAAACAAAAAAAAATCTTACTGACCTCAAACTTTAGAACAGAAGTGTGTATTCAAGTGAAATAAGATATTCAACAGAGAAAAACAAACCGAAGTGTATGGTTGGACTTGATTTTATCCTATGGGAAATTGATGACATTGTGAAGTCATCCATACCTTACCACTCCATACAAAAAGTTTCTTTGGAATGACATTTTGAACAAATTCAGAAAGTAAATAGTGTAAATTTTGATGTCATGTTACTTAAAAGGTGAAGAGTGTAATTTCTGGGGCAACTTTTTTCCACTTTTGCTCTATTGAGCAATGTTTTGAAAGTAGCACAGAGTGGTAAAATCAAACTTTAAATGGCTTAAACTATTGACTTAAACACTCTGCACATTTGACTTAAAATATATTATGAGAAATAAATCTCAATGATTCTTACCTGATTCTTTGAGAAAAGTGCATTTCTGGTAAACAGATGAGCGCAAGCTGGGTGCGCGAACATTGTAGAGACGGGCCTTCTCAATGCGTCCGTCAAACACTCGCAGGATGGGTTCTTTCTCCTCCCACTGAGACATGATCTTGTTGTCGATGAAGGTGGCAAACATTTGTGATTCGATGAAATGCGACAGGAAGGGCAAGTACGGTTCCGGCTGATCAGAAAGGAATGAGGCCTGAAGAGAAATCAAATGAAAGAACTCAGAAATGGATGTACCTTCTGAAACTTTTGATGAAAACTTTGGTACAAGAATAGGATTTGTTTTGCTAATATTTTGTGCATCTTAAAGTGTGTAACATATCAGTTACCTTGTCAAAGTTGTGCATTTGCTCTCTATTGGTCAGCCAGGACTCCAAATCTGGAGAGTTCTGAATCACAAACGACTCGTAGTCTGCAAACATTGTAGCAAAGCGCGCAGCAAACACCTCCCTCAGCTGCACGTTCAGTTTAGCGTTCCTCAGCTCCTCTTCCTCAGCAGGAGACCTTCCTCCCACACCCTCCTCCCCTGCTGCCAATGCCTCCAAACGGGCCACTTTCACCCCTGTCCTTTTGGCCAAAGCCTGCAGACGCTCCAGAGTCGGGTTGCCCTGAAGAAGTTCCAGCATGTCCAGCGCCTCTCCACCGAGGTTTCCGTTCCTCCTGTCATCCACTAACTCACTCAGGGATGTGCTCTTCAGCTCCTTCTCCAGCGTGGAGGTCTGCATGCTGACAGCTGGTTCAGGGGAGGTGTTGCCCCCCTCAGGAGACAGACCAAAACTTAGCAATACCTCACTGAGTTCCTGGATGAATTCGGTCTTGTTGGGGAACTGAGGGAATTCTTCAGGCAGCTCGATGCACTGGTTGTCAATGTCAACAAAACACAGGTTCGCCTGAGGAGAGAAAGGCGCCATGCAAATTAACTTTTACGCTTCAAGCCGCACATTTCAATCTGAAAAGGTAAGAGTTCAAGTTGTTTTATTAAATGTCATCAGGCAGATTTTTGTGTAATTATACTTTAACCTGTAGTATAACTCAACAATAACCAATAATGCTGTGACAAAGGAAATTGATGTTTGTGTGTGTGTGTGTATGGGTCAATGACAAACAAGAGTGTTTTGAAGTAAAATGTGTGGCCAAACAATGAGTGGCATTGCGTGTATTTTGGTTTTAAAAGCATAAAATTTGTATCTCGGTTAAAAAAAAAAAAAATGTATCCAAAATAATAGCCTAGCTAAATAATCGCTACATTAACATGTAGATTACATTATAAGCCAACTTCATTCTGATGTGCCAAACAAAGCACATGTCCAAAACACAAATCTCACAGTATTCAAACACACACGCACTGACCCAAAGCTGCAATAGCATATCATCAGCTGTACTGACCTAATAACCAAACCAAATATCTGGAATTAGAGAAAATCAATCCTGTGTATCATCAGAAATCTCACTGTGTGACACATTGCTGTTCAGTCACATGCAGTGCAGCTCATGCAGTGAAAATGCCCTCAAGAGAGAGTGTGTGAGCGTGACCTGGTTGCTGTAAAAATAAATCAGTCAAGCAGAACTGTCCGTTCTGTCAGGCCACAATGCTGACAGCCTGTCAGAAAGAAGCATTTAGGCCCAGCATGCATGTGTTTGACCAAGCTAAATAAAAATGACATCTTTTTTCCTATTAATTAACAATTTGGGTTCGTTTTTATAAATGTCTTCATCTCATATGAGTGTATATCATTTTTAAATGTGTGTCAGATTTCTTTATATGTAGTTTTTTTAATGTCTACTTTTGCGCTGCTACAAAAACGTGAGCGTGCGCATACAGGTTTGTGCACATGTACGTTTGTTTGTGTTATACTGCATACACGCATCCAACACTCATTTAATACTGTTCCCGGTCAGAAGAATCCTGATCTGAAATGGGCAAAGACAATGGACAGGAGCTGAAGCATAATAATTTTACTAAAATTAAACTGAAAAATCTAATGGTTTTCACAAATATATTAAGAAGCACAACTCTTTTCAACATTGAAAACAACAAATGTTTCTTGAGCAGCAAATCAGCATATCAGAATGATTTCTGAAGGATCATGTGACACTGAAGACTGGAGTAATGATGCTGAAAATTCAGCTTTGTCCTCTCACAGGAATAAATAACATTTAAAAATATTTTAAATGTTAGTTTAAATGGTCATAATACAGTATTTACCAATATTACTGTTTTTTTTTTTACTGTATGTTTGATCAAATAAATGCAGCCTTTGTGAACATATGAGACTTTTTCAAAAATATTTTTGAATCTTACGGACCCCAAACTTTTAAACATTAGTTTATATACACAAACAGCAAACAGAAACACAAAAATGAATGCAGTAAAAAGGAAACCCATGCTGCTTTTCCAAAATGAGCCATCTCCTCTCTTGTTCCCCTTCGGTCTCGCTCTCGTTGTCATTAGTCTTTTTTTCTGGGTCAGAGTGACTTCAAAGAGAATGCATAGCAGGGAAACTGAATGTTGTTACGGAAAATGGGATTTAGGGATGAGGATGTAGGGTAGCCTTGCAGCATCCAGACGGACAAACCATGAATAATTAACCTCTGCTAAGAATTCTGATACAGCACGACACAAAGAAACGAAGGCTCTGAAGCTAATGATACAAGTCGAACATGGAAGCACTGTATTCCTGTATCCCTCGAAGAAATAAGAGGGAAACAAGGACTGCAAAAGAAGAGCCTCATACTGGTTAGGCTATTTTCAGTGAAGGCCTCTGGTGCTTTTTAAAGGCATTGAGGGTGTTCTCATATGCAAATCACCCATCGTCACAAACCAATCTGGCTCCAAATTTATAAAGGCTATCTCAGGGATTTCTAAGTGGCTGTGATAAAATGTGTGAATGTGCAGGTCTGTGCAGATTACCTCTTGAGGCAGCTCTAGCTTGGAGCGGTCCGTGCCCTCTTTGGACTGCAGGCCCATGAGATACGGCACAGGAGCGTCCAGGAAGTGCAGAAGAGAAGCGGGAAGGATGGGCACATACACATGCTGCCACTGGAACGGGAACAGCAATGTTGTGATTCCCTCCGCAACCACCATGAGCCTCTGGTAATCTAAACGTACACAGACAAAAGAAAAAAAATATCAACAACTTCAACTGACAAAATAAATTAAAATAAGAAATCATTATACGAGTTTGTTGAAATGAGGCTGTAAAATTCTATTTTTGCCACTAGCAAGTGAATTATTTAAATAAAATTTACCTTAAATGTCTTAACATCCATTAAACTGCATTTAGTATTATGGAAAAATAACAGTAAAAAGTAAATAATAAATGTTAAATCATATTTCTTTTTAAAGCTACTTTTTGTAATGTCTATTTGAAGCTTTTCTCATGTAACATAATAATGGCTTTTGGGGGTAATTTCTCTGACAAATATGATGTGTGATTAATTAGATTAATTAATCACCACATTGTGTAATTAATTAGATTAAATTTTGTATAAATACAGCCCTATAGCCCTAATATAAATATATAATTTTTTGTCAATATAAAAGTTAATTACAGTGCCTCTGCCCAGTCTTTGAATGCTCTGGAGTGGGTTTTCATTAAGGCTAACTCAATATTTTGGTGCATTGAGCTTATCTTCTACTCTGACAAGTCCCTCGGTCCCTGCCGCTGAAAAACAGCCCCACAGGATGAGGCTGCTACCAGCACACTTTACTTTTGGGGTGGTACTTCAGGTGATGAGCAGTGCCTGGTTTCCTTCAAACATGATGCTTGGAATTGAGGTTCATCAGACCAGAGACTTTCTCAGAGTCCGAGAGTCCTTTAGGTGTTTTTATGCAACATCCAAGTGTGTTTTCATGTGTCTTCACGGAGGAGAAGATTGAGTCTGGCCACTCCGACATAAAGCCCAGATCGGTGGAGTGTTGCAGTGATATTTGTCCTTCTCTAGATTTCTCCCATCTGCATATATGATCATGGAGCTCAACTAGAGTGACCATCATGGTCTTGGTCACCACTCTAACCAAGACCCTTTGCTCTGATATGCATTATCAGCTGATAGACCTTTTATTAAGATGTGTGTGCCTTTCCAAATCATACCCATTCAATTGAATTTGCCACAGGTTAACTTCACTCGAAGTGTAGTAACATCTACAAGCAATTTGAATGCTCCTGAGCTAAATTTCAACTGTCCCAGATAAGGGTATGAATACTTATGCAATGGAATCATTTAAGTTTTTTATTTTTAATAAATTTGCAAAGATGTTAAAAACCTGTTTTTTGCTTTACCATTATGGTGTATGGAGTGTAGATTGATGTGGGGAAAAAGTAATTTAAAGCAGTTTAGCATAAGGCAGCAACTTAACAAAATGTAAAAAAAATGAAGGGGTATGAATATTTTCGCAAGGCACTGTATCTAGTTGTTTTTCCCTAATATGCTTGCAAACAGAAATGAAACACATCAGTGAAGATCGTAACTATGAGTTATGTTGAAACCTGTTTTTATGAACCAAAGTCATTTCAACTTGCATTTGGCACTTGACAATGGTTCAATTTGGATCCTGGGATCCAAGTTAAATTAGATGAAAGGCAACTTATCACGTAATACTGTACGGTGGACTTACTAAAACAGGGCAATGTGATTATTAATAGATGTTTCTCATAAAAATCTCATCATTTGTTTATATGGAGAACAGTCAGAGGAATTCATTAGCATGTGTATCAGCTTGTGTTTGCTGAAAAGCATATGTGCTGCAGCAGGGTAATGTAATATTCATTAGGCTCCTCCACATTCACTCAGTCTCCACATCAAAGCCCCGGCAAAGATGCACTTCCCAGCATCAGAACTCAAATTTAAATGCTTAAATAAGAGATGAACTGATCTGCATACAGTCAAGACTTAAGTCATCAGGGGTGCAAATTCAAACACAAATAGCCTGTAAGCTTGATATAAAAGTAGGGATTGTCAATCGGTTAATATATTTAAAACCGTATTTCATTAATTAAACCACAAAATTATTGTGGCATTAAGACATTTAATCATTAGATAATAAGACATTACAAGTCCAAAAAGTCTATATATTATTTGGAAACACTACATTACTGTAATAAATAAATATATATTTATTTCTAAACATATTTTGTATTTATTTTATCATTTAATAATTGTAACAAATAATAAAATAAAATAAAACAAAACAAAAACAAACCGAATAAAAAAAACAAAAGCAAAACAAACAAAAGCTAAAGCAAACACACCCAAGCGAAACCAAATGAATAACAAAACAAACTAAACTAAACAACCAAACAAAAGACATTAAAGCGAAATCAAACGAAACCAAACAAAGCCAAGCAAAACAGGCAAAACCAAAGGAAAGCAAACAAAACAAAGCGTGACCAAACAAGTATGAACAAAACAAACGAAAGCAAACAAAACCAAAATGAAACAAAACTAAATGAAAGCCAGAAAAAGTGGATGAATAGGACTAGGCAGGCACAAACAAACAAGATCAAACAAAATGGAAAAACGAAAAAAAAAAACATTTTCTAAGCTAAAATTCTAGGTTTCTTACCCTGTGAGTAGAGGAGGATCTGCATCTCTAGTAAGACACAAGTAAAAATCTGCACCAGATTTTCCACTCCCAACAACTGGAAGGCCTCACTCAGTGGGAAATCAGCCAACGGCAGCTCCCCGACACCAGGCCTCTGGCTCAGGATAGGTTCATACACTCCGTGGAACTTTAAAGAGCGTCCGGGTGGTGGCAAAGGTACTTCATAGAGGATGTTGTAGATATAGCTTTCCAAAGGAAGTGGGGGCGGCTGATGGGAGATGACAGCACGGTGTACTTGGGACAGGAAACCTTTACAGGCGTGCATGAAGGGCATGGGCGTGATTAGACACATAGCTTTGGACACATACAGAGTGTCGCGAACAGAGTCGTAGCCTTCGCCAGAGCAGCCACAGCTCGTGTGGCCCCCTTGTGAGGAGGAAGTTGAGGAGGGAGACTCAACTTCACCAAGGCTGCTGGCTAAAGAGTCCATACTAGAGGAGGATGAGGACGATGATGACGATGATGAAGGGCAGTTGTGGGCAGATTCGTTATGCTCCGCTTGGTGCATCTGGTGTAGCGTCTGCATGGCGGAGCAGATCTGAGGGCTGGTCACCTCCTCGTAGAAGGTGTGAACGAAACCATAAGTGCGAGATCCGTCTTCTCTCGTGATGAGGAAAGAGTGGAACTGTGGGGTGTGACTGTCACGCTGTGTTCGGAATGACAGACCTTTGGGCATGCAGAGCTGTAGAGAAAGAAAGAGAAAATGACTTATTGCTTCAGTAACTACACATTTCTTAATGCTGCCTTCATTGTGCAATTTGATATATGCAGGGTGTCTACTGTTTACATTTCCAGCAACAATATAAAATGAAGTGAACCGTAGCACTCCACTGAGAAAAAAAAAATTTCTGATGAACACAGGAAAAGTACCAAACAGTACCATGTTTTTTTTTTTCCTAGACTTATTTATGTTTGTTTGCTGTGTATTGTTATATATGATCTCCAACATTAGCTCCAGCTATTAAATAAAATCAATCAATCTAAACTAAAATAAATACAAGTTTATGAGCTTATGAACTGGAGTAATTATTATTGTTATTATTATTATTATTATTTTATTTGAAGAGGTTTTTGGCGCCAGAAGAAAGACAGCCAATCACATTATATGCTCTGGGTGATGGCTTTTCCTCTTACTCTGCATTACTTTAATGAAAGTACAGTGAGAAATGGCACGTTATAAGTTGGCTGTTCAATGTTAAAAACATGCGGTTCATTCCTCAAGATTTTACACACATTTAGATGGGGGAAACATTTCAGTCACCCTCTATATCAGCGGTTCTCAATTCCAGTCCTCGCGTACCCCCACTCTGCATGTTTTGCATGTCTCTCTTTGTTAACACACCTGATTCAGATCATCATCTCGTTAGAAGTGAGCTCCGTGCATGAACTGTGTTCCGATTGACACAGTGTCCATTGCTCCCTACTCCCTGAGCAGGAGAAATCAGTTAAAGTTTACTTCACTTCGGAATATTCATTTACAGATTTGCGCTACGCTGCTGCCTACAGCGTCTTCACACACATACGAAACTTACTAGAGAAGCGTGAAGTGGGACATAATATACCTCTGTAAATAAATACAATTTAAATTCACGTCTCGCACACTTAAATGCCCTTTGTCTGGAACATATACGCTCCCTTCAAACTGGAATCATGGCGGAATATCCGGTAATGTCCACTTCGCAGGGCACTTACAGTCAAATATAACAAACGTCTGAAGCAATAAGAGAAACATACAAAATGTGCAGAGCGGGGGTACGCGAGGACTGGAATTGAGAACCGCTGCTCTATATCATATGTGGCAGTATGATTTGAACTCCAAAGAGCATTTGACCTGACTACATTGATTTAAACTGGATGGCTTAACCCTCTACCGCATGGTGTGGCCATATGGCAACATGGTCTTTGTGTTCATTTCCTTGCCACTGTCTCTTTAAGAGAACATTCTCGTTTTTTTTGTTGGAAAGAGAAGACCTTAGTTTAGCCAATGATGTGCTTTGGGTAAGTCACATGACATGCAGTTTTTTTCTGTGGCGAGATTTCTGACAGACTGCCCTCTCTTGTCGGTAGTAGCTGAAAGCAAACTAAAACGTCAGTAACAAACAAGGACCAGAATTGAAAGCCGTTGGCAACACTGACTCTTCGCCGTCTCCTCTTGCTGCCTGTCTCACACCTGAAGCGCGCGCACACGCCGCATCTCGCACAGCGTATCTTCAGTTCTGCCGCACACGTGCAAAGCGCGCGCACGCAGAGAGACGGGTTTCAGACGGCGCGCGAACACCGAGTTGCTTCGTCTTTCGCATCTCCTCATGTTTAAACAGACACATACACACAGAATTATGTCAATAGTACCCGTCTCGACGATCATTCTCGTAAACGCAGTCGGTTATGTTTTAAATGAATGTAAACAGCTGAGAAAGAAATTAAACATTTTAAAATATAATTGAAATTGATTTTACACACTTTAAGCAATATCGTATCGCATATCGCATATCGCATTTTTCTTCAATATCGCACAGCCCTAATGCAAAGATTCAAAGATGCACACACACAACTGATATATGCAAAATATGCACAAGAGCAAGAGAGTACAGCCTATTTCAAACAGATTTACTAAACAGAAAGTGTCTGCATGCATGCAACTTGCATTTTTTCAAACTATAGGTGAGCATTTCACTTTATTATTTACTACATAAAAGATTATAATTGCAAAATATTGTGTTGATAAATAGGTTTACAGTACATTTTCAGCACGTTTCCTAGACTACACAAGGCAAAAATTGGACGCTTTTGCACCTATGTTTCCGTTTCGCTCTTATTTACGCAGCACCGTGCTGCTTGCACATGCATTATGAGTTAACATGGTCACCGAAATAAAGTGTCATTCGTGCGCCGTCTGAAATAGTCGAGAACTGAAAAGACAGAGAAATGGAGGGAGGGAGAGAGAGAGAAAGGACAGAGAACAAAAGAGTGCAGGAATGGAAAGAAGATTAGCTAGAAGTGGAATTGAAAAATGAAAGTAATCTCTAGGGGAATGTTATCCAGGCCTTGGAGGATTGAGAACTAAAATGGCGTTCTGTGATTGCAAGCTGTCGTTCAAGCACTTCTAATGTGTGTGGGTGGATATTTTTATGTGTGAATCTCTGCAGATAAGAGACTGGCCTTGAAAATGACTGAATTGTTTTTTTCCCCTCAAATTATGTGATAGCATCATGACTGGCAGCGCTGAACACTTCAGGTGTTCCTTTATAGAGCGAGAACACACACAATGAGCCGTTTCCATGCCGATGTAAGCAGAGAGCCTGGGTTGAATAATTGATGCTGGTGTCACTACCACTAAGCATCCGTTTACGTTTGCTGATGGAAAAAACGACCTTGCATCACGGGAACGATAGGTCAGAGGTTTTCGTTACCTCTGCATGCTCTGGGACAATAAAACAAACCCTTCAGCTGATCACTGCATGCAACCACAGAATGACTGAGAGTCTACATGTACACATTATGGCACTCCAAATCAATGCAGATACACATCTATCTTATGACTAATATGAGAAACAGTGAGACTGTGTGTGGGAACCTTTATTTGTAACAGAAATCAAACAAGTTTAGATGTGTTGGATATGATCAATTTGGCATAAAATTTCACCCTATTCATCAAGCCTCAGCATGCTCTGAAAGGCACATGTCCCAAACACACTTCAAACAAAACAAACAAAAAAATAAAACAAAACAAAAGCACAACAAAACAAACAAAAAACAAGTGCACAAAACAAGAATAATAAAATATATAATGAATAAACAATACAAAACTCAAAACAAACAAAACAAATCAATAGAATGATACAAAAACAAAAAGAGTGAAAAAAACACCTTAAAACAAAAGAATGAAACAAAACACAAAAGAATTATACAAAACAAGTGCAAAACAAATAGAATGATACAAAACAAAAGAATGATATAAAAAAAACAGTTTAAATCACTGCTGGAGGTAATAGATCAAAGGTGTAAACCAAACAGGTAAAAGTGTCAAGTACTGAAGTCGCTTACCATGTTAACAGCATCCTGGTCAAATGCGTTGCACTGGATGTTCTTTGGGTAGTGAGCAAGCACTTTGGATTTGAAGGTCCTTTTGAGGGGGCTCTGATCAAAGTTTTCTCCTGCAGAGAGGAAAGGAATAGGTATTAAGGACAGTAAACGCCTGGAAACATCTTTTAAAATATTCATAAGCTTTAAATTGCAAAAGCATCTATGCTATAAGTGTATCTGAATTCTTATTCATGGTCGTAAATAAGAAGAGGTTTGTCATGTGTCTCAGTTACACTGCATTAAACTGATGAAGGTTTCATGGATTTGCCACTAAACTGTGTACCTCAAGGCCTTTTGAGAGGACGGTACGTTATGGAGGCATGCATGTGAACAAGTTGCAGAGGATTTCATTCTTTACATCTACTTAGTAGTTGTGATGAAACTTTCTGTAAGTTACTTAGTTGTATATTTCAACAGTTACAGTTTTAAAAAATCTGGCATATTGCTCACAATTTTCACGCACAATTTCACACCTTCCGTTGATAGCTTAATAACTTGTTAAAACACACATTGCTGTGACATGATTACTACAACTCTCTCAAGTATGTTGGACAGAATAATCCACTCATATTTACCATTTAAATGTGACCCAGATACGACACCTGTCTGCGAGGGGATAGTATTGGTCTGAGCAGGATTCCTCACCCTCTAACCTCAACACTAACATACTCACACCCACATCTGGGTTTGTTCTTCATGATCAGCAGCATTCATTTCCCCCCTCATACACCCCAAAATAAGAATGTTATAACCAAGTCATGATAGACAGATAGATAAATAAATAAAATACATACATAAAAAAGATCAAATAAAACATTTCAGTAAATGTACAAAAACTGATGCTAAAACAGTGTAGTATAATAATTGTTACTATAAAATAAATATTTTTCTAATATATACACAATATCTTTAGGATATAATTTTTTTGAGATTTAAAATTTCTTTTTGTGAATCGTAAGCAGGAAATTACATTAATAATTTGTGGTTTTGCTTTAATAATATTGAATATTATTCATATTTAAGTTTTATACTTTGGTTATCCACCTTATTTTTCAAGTTAGAACGGATGTTGCCATTTATAAAATGTAATGTGTCTGGCTTCCGGTGTCATTCGCTTCCAGTTATTTTTAAGCTGTACATATCGTTATGCTGCTTGAAACTGCAAACTGGTATTTTTTACAATATTATTTTAATGTATTATCTTAATCATAAACACACTGGTTTGTAGCGCACAAAGTTTTTACCATTTACTGCACTTTGATATTCTTATTATTTCCCTATAGCGGCTACTGAATCGGATGTCTCATACATTCACAGAAAAAATACTTTGGTTATTGCTTTCAAGAGTTATTGTTATTATCATTATTGTAACCTTTATATTTTACACCATTTTTGCACTGTGTACACCATTCATTTTCATTTACATTAATTTGCAAATTTTTTGAAGAAGAACATTGGATATTCTACATTGTTACTCAATTAAAAGAAAAAAAACAAAAGAATGATTGATTGATTGTCAAAATAGTAAAACTGGGATTTTCACACTTCATTGACAGGTTTGAACCTATATCTTTCATGTGAGCACAAAGGCTTAACGTGTGTGGAGCATGTGCGTTAATCACTACACTACAGCTATTTGTAATTTTTTTTAAATATGTGACCCTGGACCACAAAACCAGTCTTAAGTTGCTTGGGTATATTTTTAGCAATAGCCAAAAAAACTATCAAAATGAGTCAAAATTATCGATTTTTCTTTTATGCCAAAAATCATTAGGATATTAAGTAAAGGTCATGTTCCATGAAGATATTTTGTAAATTTCCTACCGTAAATATATCAAAACTTAATTTTTGATTAGTAATATGCATTGCTAAGAACTTCATTTGGACAACTTTAAAGGCGATTTTCTCAATATTTTGATTTTTTTTGCACCCTCAGATTTTCAAATAGTTGTATCTCGGCCAAATATTGTCCTATCCTAACAAACCAAACCATACATCAATGGAAAGCTTTCATTCATTCAGCTTTCAGATGATGTATAAATCTCAATTTCAAAAAATGGACCCTTATGACTGGTTTGGTGGTCCAGGGTCACATATATATATTTATAAAAAAATGAAAATGCAGCAATAACCACATTTTTTTAGGGTAAATGTGAAAAATTCAAATCATGAAAGTCACGATTCATTTATTATGCTGGTTGGCACACAATGATGGGCTAAAAACAACAGGGAGGCATTGTGTTTTGTGTCGCTTTCTACCATCATGAATGCAACAGTTTCATGAGACACAATTGCTTTTCTGGCTCAGTGCCAGCAAAACACAAGCTGGAACATAGATTGGAAAAGTGCCATGAATGCCACAACAGTGCAGATTACAGGAGCAGACAGTATGTCATGCAGGATTTGGATCTGATGAAAGTTAAAAAGCAGAGATTTCAATCGAATGGATGTGAAGCAAACAAGATAGAGCGCGCAGTTAGCATGAAAAGATAAACAAGACAACTAACTGATGATATTGATGTTACAAGTACATTCTTGAGATGAAAACAGCACTCAGTCACTCTGAATGAAGCAAGGTAATTAATATAGAGTCTAATTAACCATCTAGCTCATGTTTTGTCATCATGTATGAAGATTTTTTACAGCGTGAGTCTGTGCTGTGGGGTGAACTAGCGGTGATTTGGCAGGAGAGACTGTGTGACAGACAGCCCTGGGCATTAACTAACAGGAAGGGACAGGGAGGAGGAGAAATCTACTAAAGCCCTTTATAACAGAGAGAGTCTGAGGCCGCAGGCATACATGTGAGAAAGACCCCATGAAGTGATAGCAGGAACAGCAGAAAAACAAGACAGGGAGGGAGTAAGAGACAGTGAGTGTTGCAAGAGAACAGAAACCGATTTAAAATAACAAGCTGAGGCAAATGACCCACATTTAACTATGATGCATATCGCAAACTGAGAGAGAACGAGATGAAAAGAGGGAGGAAGTAGTAAGGACTGAAAGCTAAATGAAAACAATGACCCCGTTTACACTTGGTATTCAGTCTTGCTGCATTCTGATATGTAGCACCATTTAATCAATCCTTGATGGATATAATGAAGTCCCGTACATTTTTCCTAACTGAACAGCCCATTTCCCTCAGAAATACATCAAATTACAGAAACAAAATGGGTTGCAATTCACATTAATGTGTTCTTAATATGTCCAATCAAGTCAAGTGGTAGGCAAAACACATGACCACATTACATTTGTATATATTCTATAAAGGTAAATATTAATCTACATATTAAATATTAATCTCGGACAGCAAATGGTACACTAAAATGAGGGCTTTAAAATGGTTAGAAGCAGCTTCAAAACAAAATAACTACACAACACAAAAAGTGCATACATTTATTTGCACATAATTGCAGAAACGTCCCAATTCTGGACATTAAACGTATTTATTTTATTTACACATTTGACTGATAAATATGAAAATCATATTAAACATTCTATAACATTAAAATTCTATAATATTAAAATATTAAACTCTTATAATATATTTATTCTAAATTATAAAAAAAAAAAAATCAATAATATAACATAATATAATTTAATAATACAATTCTAAAATATTAAAATAAAATAAAAATACATGTCAAAACCTTCCAAAAATGTAATTTCTAAATCATTTAAAACTAATTATTTATTTATACATTTAATCAATAACTATTACAATAAAATAATATTAAATTATCTATAAAATTCAAATTGAACAGTTTCTACTAAATTAAACTCATTTTAATTACAAGTGAATTTAAATCACAATATTAAAATGTACAGTATGAAATGTGGATATTCATTTTGAGATTTCGTGACTAGTTTAATATTTGGGAGAAGTGCTTGTTTGTTGGTGATTGTTTTCACTTTTTTTAGCTTTATCCATTAGGCAGTAATGCACTGATGCAGTAAGCAACCTATTTAGTTACAGAATCAGAGACCCTCCCCTCAAAGTCTATATAAGTAGACACAGGGGATACATTTGGGAAGCATATAAATATGAGGTTTAAACAGCAATCTCTCTTGCCTGACCGCTTGAGATCAAATCATTTGAGGTGGATCTTAATACCAGGTGTAATCAGGGCCAAAAGAACGAAGGACTGAAAATAAAAATGGAGAAATTTAGGGAAGCTTAGCAGTGAGGGAGTTAATGATGACGTTTACCTGCTGCCACGGCTTCTGGTTCCCTGCCCTGACGATCGGCCTCTAGCCATTGGTACAAAGCTGAGATGGCAAACACACAAACAGACAAACAAAAAGCAAAAATGTCAAACCAAACACAGAAATGGAGAAGCAAACAAAATGGATGCATGACTGAATCCAAAGTGCAATGGCTTTGCAGACACAGACATTGTGTGTGTTATTTTGCAGGCTGAGCAGTGATGGAGGTGAAGTGAGACATGTTTCACAGCCTCTGCTTTGGCGAGCAGCTTGACTGGAGGCCACACTCTCTGCTGGGACAGAGACATCACGTTGTGCATGACCTGCAAGCGCTCAAAGAATATCTTATTGGTGGGTGTTAAAGGAACACAACGAGGTGGTTAAGAAATATCTACATGTGCAACCCACACACATGCACGCGCACACATACACACACAGCCTTCAATGCCTGGCTAGCAAGTCATCTTCAATTTGGCCTCAAATAGTCTGGATCATCAAAACTGGATGCATGTTTCATCTATTTCTTAAACATAAGACATTTAACAGACACCTATGAAAATCCCAAACCCTGTCAAAAACATGTTTGGGTCTATAAATAAAGGCAAATATTTAACATAAAGAATATGAAGACATATATATATATATATATATAGGACAACAAATAATTACCCTTTCTCCCCTCTCTGCCTTTAAAATAAAACAAAACAAAACAAAATAAAAAATAAAATAAAATAAAAAATATAAAATAAAAAATAAAATAAAAAAAATTTGCATCCATATCCCAGTACTTTATGGGTAATAAACTAAAAATAAATAAATAAACAATAATAATAATGATTCCTAAAAAACAAAACATACCACATCAGCTAAGTAATATACTTAATGTCATGTACACAATGTTAAAATGCAATAAATAAATAAATGGTCCTAAGAATAGGTTTATTTTATTAAAATTAAATATATATTTTATTTTAGAGAGAAAAACAAGCTAGACGTGCTGTTCTTGAGATTCACCCACACAGGAAGCGACTGCTGTGTCTGCAGTGCTATGAACGGTATTTACAGGATGACTCAGCCTGTGCGTTTCGAACAAACGTCACTGCTGGCTGAACGTGAATCAAACATGAATCAAAACTTTGAACTCACCTAAGATCCTAACTACCTCTGCAATCTGTTAAATCCAGCACCTGCCAAAGTCTTCCTCACTTAATTAACCCATATCACACATTTCCAAAGATGGTGAATGTTAAATGCAAGTCTGCTACTTCTAACTCCAACAAAAAGGACCACACCATGTTTGTTGTACCATGGTATCTCTTTACAGTATCTTTGAGTGCCAATACGCTAATCAACAAGTTCTATAGTGTGTGTATTGCATATACATATTATAATCAAAATCATCGGCGCAGCATTTTTTTCCACGTGCCCATAAAAACAGAACTTTTTCTCCATTAACCCCTGGCAGCAGCGGAAGAGAGTATTGGATGTGTGAGCTTCAGAGACCAAAATCACTGGCCTTGCTCTGAGCACTATTCATTTTAAAAGTGCTGATGGAAGACAGAGAAAGAGCAAGGGACGGCACACAATGTCTCCTGCAGAGCCTTTGTCCATCCTCAACAGCGTTACGTAACTGAGCTCTAGCCATATATGTGTGTGTGTGTGTGTGTGTGTGTGTTTCAAGTGCTGAGCGGGCACATTGTGAGCACGAAACATTGAGGTCATTTTCCTTCTCGCGGGGTTTGGGCACAGCTCCACTGTCAGACTCATAACACATCTACTAAAGCTGTAATCCACAACAAGTCCTGGCTTGTCAAAACTTCAATGTTTTATCTTACTGCATCATAGAGTTAAGCAAGAAAACCATTCACTGACATGGTTAGGTATTGAAATTTCACAGGACAAATATGACTTTAACTTGCTTGATGCGAGTTGAAAGCAAGCGAAGGGATGGAATAAGTAGCAAAAGATGAGTCTTTCATCTTTAAGATATTTAATGAGACGGTACCAGTGTTTTATTAAGAAAAGAGCCTTGTAACATAGGGAACAATCGTTCAAATACGCACACAAACAACACAAAAAGCTGACTTTTTCAGGGCATGACAAAGTCACACAAGGCTGTCAAGATAATTTGTGTGTAACTCATATCAGCCTGTAGCAGACATTCAGGTCAAAGTTCACTGAGAACTAAACAATTTGTGTGTTTACATTCACTTTACATTTTCAAAATCTGACTAAAATCATATCAGTCTGGTTTTTGTGAAATCGGACTAACAGACAATTATTGTGATCTCATTCAGATGATTTAGAAACAAAAATGCTACTACATACAGCCTGGCATGGGCGACATTTGACTCTTGAGTCAGGGGGGCAGGAAAATTATATATATATATAATATATATATATATATACAGTGGGTACGGAAAGTATTCAGACCTGCGCGGGACGGATTTTTCAGTCCCACTCCTTCAAGATTCTGTCCCGCGCCCACCCGCAGAAATATATCTTATCTGGTCCCGCTCCCGCCCGCAAAAAAGTAACCTATATAGATTTTTTTCAGTACATCGAAGAAATTTACATGAAATGGTTCTGTAACATCTCCTAAGCTCCACAACATCCCAGCATAAACGCTCCCGATAAAATATTTATTTAGGCTACGCATCAACATTCACAATCACCACTGTTATTTTTTAACAGAAAAGCAAGCATAGGCTGCTGCGTGCATAGTTTGGCATGGCAGAACGCGAGCAGCGCGCTTCCTTTATTATCACTAAAAGCTGACATCTCAGTTAATCGCGATCTCATAAAGCTGTGTTATAACACAATAAATATATGCACAATTAATCTTTTTTAACAGTGTCTACACTTCGTGTGTTAAAATGAGGATTCTTGGGCACGCAATTTCAGCACTGTGGTGAGTAGATTCTAACTTAATCCCCTCTGATTGGCCATTGCGTTCCAGAAATCAACAGCTGAGTCTATGATTGGCTACATTGCGCAACCCTTTAAACACGTGTTATAAATAGAATCTATGCCTAGCTTGCACATGTCATTAATTTTAATGTTAATATTAGGTGTTCTTTTTGCTTTTGTGCAACAGATAAATAACAATTTATATGTTTTAGACACTTTATGTTTAGATCATTTCTATTTTGCGGGAGTCCTGCGAATCATTTTATTCTCCCGCATCCTGCACACACACGAGTCTCTTCCCGCCCGCACCCGCACTCACACTCGCCCATCAAGAGTTGTCCCGCGCCGCACCCTGTTGCATTGGGTCCCACGGGAGTGCAGGTCTTCAAAAAGCTCCGTTGATACTGTAAAATTGATGTTCTTTGCTCACTTTCCTATATAATTTATTCGTTGTTTGAATAACCGTTGAAATTAATTAATCGGCCTAATGTTTTTCTTAAATTGTGATCACTGTTAAATAGCCTCCAGTTTCAGTCTTATTATAAACATTTCGTGACATGATGACACGCATTATCTGGTACTTGCTTAAAAAGAAATATGAAATAATGACAAATTAATAAATGATGAAATAAATAAAAGCAAAAGATTTTTTTTTCTGATGTAAGCATCAAAATTTGTCAGTTGATGGCCTTTCATTTTTAACCAGAAATGTGCACGCTGCTTTTCTGATGTTCACTGAAGTTTTCCGTGTCTTTTTCCCGTGTCAATTGAAATGTTTCATTTTTGAATCGTTGTTACCAAAGGCGAGACACTTGAGACACATACAAATCTGAGCTAAAGAAGCATATGAATCACACTTAGCTGAAATCAAACAGTCACATGGTGTTTAATAAATCTTATCTGAGGGCACAGGTTACCGATGAGCTGGAACTTAGTCAATGAACAAAGTCAACATGACCGTTTCATGGTCTCATTTGTCCTCACACATACACAAACATAGTAAAGGCCAAGCATATTCAATTGCGCAACCTTTTTTAACTGTTTGAGACCCTAGATCTGCATTTCAGCCCATCTAATGCTTGCAGCGATACCATTGTGGTTGAGAAATTCAAAACCAGAGACATCACATATCCAGAGCTGCATCAATCTACTTTCTGACTATTATTAAAGTAAAGCATTTATATAATTAAAAAAAACATATTTTATTTTGAAAGCTGCATGCCATCCATTTTGCTCTGCAGACCACAGACACAAAAACACACATTTATATGATGAAGGCTTCTGAATGGCCCTACCTCAGTTGTAATCTATTAGGATGAAGGCCACGTAGTAAAGATGTTATGTAACTGGATTTTGCACCCGTGACATAACTCAGCAAGATATGACAAATATTGCTCATTCGGCACTATGCAAGCTTCTGTGCAGTGCTTTAAAGGGGCCCTATTTAGAGCCCGATCGATATGGGTTTTTTGGGGCCGATACCGATACCAGGGCGTAAAAAAAGGCCGATATTCTTTGTGTATATTATAGTACAGTACCAGTCAAAAGTTTAAACACACTGTTGCTCACATCAAACAATTTTATGTGAGTACTATGACCAGTACTTAATTTGATCCTGCTGGATCCTGTTCCGGAAAATGTCAGATTTTGAATTTTTGCATTCCGGTAGGCCTATTTGTTTGTAAAAATCCGGCATTTACAGTGCATTAGATCGTGACAGTGCATGCTTGCGTGCATAAGAGACGGAGCGAGCGCGGGTTTGACTAGATGTATTTGGAGGTTATTGCTCACGTCTCATTCGGCACAAATCCAAATGTTTCCATATTCGTAATGTATTTGAATGTTAAACTATTATTTATAATGTAAACTAGGCTTGTACTTTACACGCATTCGCATATAGACGGAAAAGATCATTTCCAAAAAGCTTCTTTTTTTTTTTTTATGAAAACAAAATTTGATACCGGCATATCCCTAGTTTTGACTATTCCAGTCACTTCTGAACAACCTTAATTATGCACTATACAATCTTTGGACCCACTTTATATTAACATACACTAACATTTAAATGAATAATTTGATACACAGCACTTACGGTGTACGTACATATTTTTAGAGACAACTAATATAGTGGGACACAGATTTGTGTGTACATA